AATAAAATATATTGAAGAAAGTTGCAACAGCAGTCATTAAAATTGATAGTCGGAACAAAAATAAATAAATACTATGCAAGTTAGTGGCAATTTCTATCAGAAGAAAATCAAAAAGGTGTGGAATAATGTAGGATGAGTAAATTATGACAATTTGTATTCTTGAGTAATTTATCCCTTTAATGGTCTAGTATGGTAAATGTTACATGGGGTATGCATTACGTGCACAGTTTTCATGGAAACATATAGTCTACATTAAGATCACTTACATTTACAAATGTTAAGTTCCATGTATAGTATGTTTTTGTTTTTTTGAGTACAAAATTACCATTTAATTTATTTTGATACTGTTCCAATATCACAGTTAATAATGTCATTACTACATATTTGGGGATGCTTTTATTCCTATAATGTGGGATTGGTACGGTAAATTAAAAGCAAACATTTCCACAGATATCCAACACATTTTACAACAATATCTTCAGTAAGTAATTCAAGACATTTTTTAATTTAAGCCTGTTTAAAATTATGTATGACACTAGAAAACAATATTTAATTAATTTAGGACTTTAAAGCCTTAAAAACTCAAATGAATGCTTTAAAAAGTTTGCTCTTTTCCCTACACCATCACCATGAAACTTTTTTTTTTTCTACTGACCAGTTAATAACACTTACCCAGCATAGTAAAGGTCTTTCCCGAGCCTGTTTGTCCACTGAAAAACAAATGCACGATTACCCTCACTGTAGCATTACCAGTGCTGTAAGACATCTGCCAGAAGCCACACATAAACTCACTAAGCAAAAATGGTGCCATTGTATCCATTCATGCAGGACTCCACAATGTTTTTAGCCACGCTGGAGAATACCTCCTCCTAAAAGACACAGATGTTCACTCAGCTTATTTTTACCAGTAAAGACGAATCTCTAAAATAAATGTATTAAAAACCTCACCTGGCTGGTGTTCATGTCAGCTACATGGTCGTACGTAAAAGTCCGTGGCTCTGGTTTACAGTGTAATCTGACAGTCTGCGGTGAGCTCACGGTCAAACACAGGCTGTGATCTCCATCTGTGCTTAAACCAGTGCCTTGAGTCAACGGTCGAACCCGCACAAACACCTTGATGGCGTCTCCATCACTGCAGGGGCATATGAAAATATATGGGTCACAAATCTACTCAGTCCAAATCCCATTCAGTAACATAAGTGACATTTCTGATTTACTCCCACATATGGATTTATCTATGTAGGAGTTTTTTTGTTGTTGTTGTTGTCATTTTCTTCAGTCATTTGCATATACTAATATGCAAAATATTTTTTTTTCTTAAATGCCATTTATATATTATTTATATATTATGTATGAGCAATTCCATGCAAATGTCAACCTTGCCATTAAAAAAATAAGTTTTCACCAAAATATGGAAACCGTTTGTAAGTTTTTTGTGCAAGCAAGTGTTTTACAGTACTGTAAACATACTCAGAAATGTCTCTGTCAATGTTTTCAAACTATAATATTTGATTTACCAAAGTCGCACAAGTGGCAATTACACATCTGTCACATCCATAACAACACTTTTCCTTCATAAATGCAAAAAAAAAAAAAAGTCAAATAAAATAAAATCTATATTTTTGTGCACTGGGGAGTCAAGTATTATTCATTAGATTATCAATATTTTTTGTTGGGTTGTGCAGTTTAATTCATAGAATTTCTACCAAGTATGTTGTGTACCGTAAACAAATCCATAACCTGAGTGTATTTTCATCATTTAAAGTACAAAACATATTTACAGAATTATATTTTTCTCATCCAATAACTCTATGGTTAGTTGTTCTGGAAAATATAAACAAAATGTTCAATATAATGTTAACATATACTTTCTATATGAATTTATCTATGAGTTATTACTGCAAATGTCACATCCATAACACTGGAATTGCTCATATATATATATAAATATATTTATTGGTGTTATTAATAGGTCTAATCTATAACACGGCAGTGTATGTTTATTGTATTAATCAAGTTCAAAGTAAAATAAATATGAATTAAACAGGGTGAAGTGTTGTTAATTTCTGAAGTTTGTTAACATTATGCTGATTTTGTGAAATAACATCTTAATAGTTGATAGATAATCAATATATATATATATATATATATATATATATATATATATATATATATATATATATATATATATATATATATTTTTTTTTTTTTTATTAAATGATAACTCCAATAGTTTGTTCGAATCACCAACAATTATAATATTCCATAAAATACTTATATTCAATTATGAGTGAAGTTAATTTACAGCAATGTAAATTTGTACACTAATACAAATCTCGGCTTGTTATTAGCAACTTTAAATTTGCACATTCATTGAACTTAATGCTAATGTTTCTGTCAGACAAATGTCCCAACTACATTTCGTAAACAAAGAAATTAAAGTTGCAGTCACATAAAATGTCCACTAAAATTAGGAAATTCGTCGTGTTTGACTATAAACATTCAACATTTTCGTCATTTTTTCAAGCTCATTGTATATTAGTGTGCAGTTAGTGTGGAGTTCATTACGTTTTGTCTGTGTGTGAATTATTATTGATGTACCTGTTGGTGTTTGCTTCCGCAGTTGCTGCATATGAAACAGATAGCACAAAAACACATTTAATAACAAAACTACAGTAAACATAGAGCTAAAATTGACGGACACAGAAGCACGTCAGTAAACATTAAGGTAACGTATGTTCGACTATAACGGTAAACATTGAGATATGTAAATCATAACGTAAACATCTCGGTTATTCGGTTAGTTTATAATCATGCGAAGTTTGCGATCGATATATTAACTGAAAGCGATAATAAATATTACTCACCTTTGCCTTTAAGATTCATGATTCATTACTATATTTCCTCTTTTTTGCCTTCTCTCTGTTCGTGAAGGAAGGATACAAAATTTGGCGCCTGATCGCCTTCTTCTTCCTGAGGTTTAATGGCGGTTTTCACCCTGAATGTTTCACTTACTGCCCTCTTCAGGAGGAAACTTTTTTTTTTTTTTTTTAGCTTTTTCGTCTCTAGCTTTTAAAAATGAGTGTATAAATTGTTTACCTTATGTACCTGTGCACAAAGTCAGGATACGGATTATTGTGGTATCGTTATGTTATGACTGATATAAAGATTTGACAATGGTTCAAGTTGCATTAACCGTTTTTATTAATAATAAAAAGTTGTACTGGGTGACTTTTTATTTTAATATTTATCATATACAATAATGTTTATTCTATTAATAGTCTGAAAAAGACCAGTATTAACCTCTTCAAAATATAATTAAATTCTTTTGGGTTTTTAAACAAAAAGATGGCCAAAGTGGCCCATTAACATTTGATTTGGTGCACTGTACCATCTGAGAGGAGAGTGAGAATGATGGAGAGGCGAATGCCTTTAAAGAAGACTGTCATTTCTAATTTGGCGTAACCTTGTTTTGTTGTTTGTTTTAGCTACCGAGCTACAAAAAAAGTATGTTTCAATTAAATGTTGTAAATATTGTTTTAAAATGTAAATAGTGTTGCTCGACGGATAGAAAACTATGCAGAAAACATCGGTGAACAGATCAAGGCAAAAACGTATGTAACTCCATTCTGTTATAAATGATATTGTTTTTACTGCTATATTTCATTACACAATGTAAAAAAAATGCTGTATAAGTAATATAAAGCAATGTTTTTAAAAATATTATTAAATAAATTAAGCCATGGGCAGCTATATTTACCTTTGGCCCAGTAGCCTCAATCAAGTTTGGTTTTTGGCCCTTCGTAAGAAAAGGTTTGGGTACCCCTGTTTTAAACTCTTGATTAATCAAAACTCTTGATATATCAAAACAAATAAAAATAATAATAAACAAATAAAATACAGGGATGAGCATTATTTATGATGCAGGTATTTCAAACATGTATTTCAAATACAAAATAGTATTTTGTGATATGTAGTTGATAGGATTGATGAAAACGCCTTAAAATTTTGCATCAGAATACTTTAATGTCTTGTATTTTTAAAATACTGTAAAATACTTTGTAAAAAGTCAACATCATGACATAATAAAAATGCAGCCTCTGAATGGCGCTTTCTCCAATATTAGATCAAATCTGACAATTGATTAATATTGAAGAAGATAGATATTGATTGGAGTATGGAATTTATGCATCACCGCGTGGCGATACCTACAATAATTAGGAAAGAGGAAATATGTCAGCCTAATGATGTCAAAGTGGGACAATATATCCCACACAAATATTTAATAATGCAGCAATTCAGTCAATACAGACTAGTCAAAAACACCTGATTCAGGTTATATGGCATCAGCAGGATATTTGTAAAGAGTTTATTTGCAAAAAAAAGATAACTTAATTTTTTGTATTTTTTTAGATGTTTTTTTATGATGCACATTAAAGAAATTACAAAAACTGACATTTTTAGTTTTTGGAAATCGTGTAAATGCCTACTGAAGGGTTCAATTCCATTAAATTAGATTTAAGAAGCATTCTGTGAAAAAGAAATTAATTTACACTTCATATTTCACCCTTTTATGGATGTAAAATTGCTAAGAGGTTGAGTAATCATTGTAGAGATTACGTCAATTTTACTGGCCACAAAATGGGTGAAACACAAATCAACAGATATAGTATTATATTCTATATATATTCCACAGTAGTATATTCTAACTAATTATCTGCATTGAACAGGGCTTCCTGTAAGAAATCTGTACAAAAAAAACATACTAAATGAATAAAAACAAGTAAAAATGTATAGTTATCTAACTACACATGTACAGTAAGAATAAAGGTAAACGAGGTGGAAGAGAATCTGTTAATATATAGTTTACTTCACATTTAACAGTGAAGGGATTGATCGAACAGGCTTATTTGTGGACGGTTTGCGAAGAAGGTTCATGCTATGTGGCGTACATGGAATTATAAAAATGCCTATAACTCTAAAATAAAAAGCAACCAAGCAACTGTTGAACTATTTTTTATTTACAAATGTGAATATATGTAAAAAATAGAGTTTATGTATGATTTGTGCCAAGAAATGCACTGATTGGCTCAGTATCACGTGCATCACTATGCAAATGCTGAATAAAACAAAGTCTCACATCCGTCATTTCGGTTTTATTTAAAGTCCTGAGCAGGCAATGTTTTTGTGCCAATCCAGGAAACAGTTCCTGTCCACCTCAACACACAAAAAAACATGACACGCCTGGCATTTCCAAGGTGTTAGTTGCCTTATGTCTTGTTTTTTACACTGACTGCAAGCCTGGCGGCCAGTAGTGGCGGTGTGTGACTCCAGCAGAGCTCCAGAAACCGGCAGATGCTCCACCTGTATACTGCTTTGTTCAGGGACTTCCTCTGATACGCTGCACAGCTCCTCAATCAGCTGGTCCATAAACTTCTTGTGGGTCAATTTGCCGCCCTGCTCTTTGTGCAGTATGAAAGCGTTGGCGGCGGCGATGTCCAAGAATTGCAGGAAGACTTTTTTGTACCATTTCAAAGAATTGTAATGCATGATGTAATACTGCAGCAGCTGATCGAAAGGGTCAACCTCTACGATGTGTTGGCTGTATGCGCTGACAGGCGCAGGACACGGGATGCTCTTCGTCTTCCTCGAGCCTTGGCGTCTGACTTTCCTTTCCACGTGTTCTCCTGTGTAGGCCTGATGGATGGTGGAACATATCGACACCTCAGGTCTATCCATCCACTTCACAAACACAACAGGCCCGTCCCGAATCCACCTGTAGGATCCCCTGGTGGACTTCTCAGTCAGTGGATTGGATTTGTTTCTTGGGAAGTCCTTCCTTTGGTCCCTGTACATCCCACACGCGCCAAACTTCAAAGCAAACAAGTCCTTCATGAGCTTTGGAGTGGTGTAGAAATCGTCCATGTACACGTGGTATCCAGAGCCCAAAGCTTTAGCGTCCAGAAGAGACATCACAGTGCCATACGAAAACCCAGGTCTTGGAGGAAAGCTAGTCTTGTACACAGAAACGTCCGCCGTATATCCATTTGACGAGTCTATAAGGACGAAAAACCTGAAGCCTAGCTTCGCTTTGATGACAGGCTTTACCTTCCTCAGCACAAATCTTTCGCTCACTACAACATTTCTTCTAGGTTGATAGTGGGCACTGCATGCCTGACGGATGCTGTCCATGAGAGATTTGACTTTGAAAAGAGTGTCCCCGTCATTCTCATCTGCGTTCGGGTCACTCAAATGCAGATTACATAAAATGGCGTGATATCTGTCCATTGACATGACTGTTGAAGGAAAAGGCACTGAGAAGAAAGGGTCCTGCCTCCAGTAGTCAGCAACGGAGTACATCCTCACCACATCCATGTAGAAGATGAGTCCAATGTAGTGGTAGAGCTCTTCAACGCTGACGTCCGTCCATGGGTATTTGCACTGCTTTGTCATTGCTCTGGCCGCCTGAGCATTTGTGTTCTTGCAAAGGTTTGACACGACGCTCTTTGAGAAGAAGAGCTTGAAGAGACTCAAAGGATTGAGAGGGTGAGCAGGACTCAGCTGCGGCCCTGGCTCACGAGCAGGCTGAAACCTCAGAGTCTTCGGAAGCTTGTCAGCATTTTTTTCCGTGCGCCAGGACACAGTCTTGGCACGTTTTGCACCAGGAATCTGCTCACTGTCATTGTCACAGCTACAAAAAAAAAAGTAAATCAATGTGAGTATGCAGACAAATGGATCAAAACAACACAAACAATTTCTAACACTGTCACTGGATTACCAATTTCATTAATTGTTTGAGTATTAACTTAAAAGGCGTATAAAATGTTAGCTGGCTGCTTGTATTTCTTGTGTCCTAAAGACAAAAAAAGTACAATAGATTTGACTTTATTTGCTCTAATCACCAAAGGTGTGATACAAGTGCAAACATTAAGCCTGTGACCACATTTCCATTAACTGCCCATCACTATTTACGGGACATCAGCATCCTTAGGCCTGGTTTATACTTCTGCGTCAAGTGATCGGCGTAATCCACGGCGCATGCAACGTCCGTAGCAGTGCATTTATACTTCTGCGCGCTGTCTCTGTTGGTCTGCATCAACACTTCCGAAACGCTAGTTGGCAGAGAGTTGTAAATGTTCCTGAGTCGAGTTTCTTCGCTGCTGTTTTGCTTTTCCTGAACATTTCCTGCATGTACAAGTGGCTCAAACTCGCTCATTTTGAGGCAGGAACCGGCGGACGTTCAACAACTTTAACTATGAGGTAAACACAGAACAAAACTTTCCATCCGGAGCTCCTTCACGGGACTCCACACTTGTAAACAATTGCTGCATTGGGCTCATGCCATTCGCGCGGCTCTTGGTCCCGCCCAGACTCGTCAACGCTACCAAGCCGACCAATCACAGAGCTTGCGCTACGCGCTGTTGCGACGTGTAGTTACATTTTTTGAGAGGTTCACGTCAGTGACGCCGACGGCCACGGCGAAGGGCTATGCGTCAACGCCGTAGCATACGTCGGCGTTTGACGCAAAGGTATAAATCAGCCTTTAGGTGTAAAGGTTGTGAAAGTGGTTTGTATAAAAAAGGTACTTTACAGTAAATCTTATCACCCAGGATGTTTTTCAACTGCCCTCTTCAGGGAGCACTTCTGCACAGGTTTACACCTTTTTAGTTTTTTCGCCTCAAGCTTCATATAAGCAGCAATAAAAATGTGTATAAACAATTTACCTTATATGCCGGTGTACAAAATCAGATTAAAAGTTATTGTAGCATCGTTGTGTGTATGTATATATTAGGGCTGGGCGATTAATTAAATTCATTAATTGAAATTGACATTCAGATCCTATTATCGATAAAAAATTTCCAGGTCAATTTTTTTTACTGTTCTTTTTAGGCAATGTGTGTTTAAATTTCATTTGTTTAACATTGACGTTCATAAATAATCATAGTAGACAGTGTGTGTTTCTTTAAATTATTTTAAAATCAAGTAACTCTTAACTTGTAATATGTGACCATAATTAATGTACAAAACATTTATTCAGCAGACTATGATATTCTTCATTCGTATATATATTTGCAAAAAAATACATAAAAGATAAAAAGGCAAAATTAGTCTGAAAATTACCAGTTTTAACCTCTCTAAAATATAATAAACTTTTTTCACACGTTGCATAGCTAATAGTATAATGTATGAATATAAATCGCAAATTACTACAGAAGTGGAAAACTAAAGTTTAGATATTCTTGAAGTTGGAGTATCCTGATATAAATTGTCTATTTCTGTTCAAATGAAATTAAATAAAAACAATTAAAGAGCATAAAATACTAATATACTTCATTGTTTTCATCTTTAATTTCTGAACCCAAAATAATGACCATCAAACACTTTCACCATGAAGACAACCACAATTGGTTGTAAATGTGTAGAAAATAACATATCAGCTTTAATAATTCAGGTAAATGAACACTTACTCAAAACGTTCTACAATTTTACATTTCTTTGGCTCAAATCACAAAAGGTGAGAAACAAGTGCATACATTAAATAGTGATGGGCATCCAATGGAAATTTGGTCACAGGCTAGTGTCTGCTGATTGTAAAAGCCTAAAAGTTAAGGCAACTCAAACCATTTGAGGAAACCGATTGCAACAAACTATTTAAGTTCAAAAACTAATTCTAATGAGTACTGTGCACTTAATCCATTTGAGTAAATGAAGCAATTTGAGCACAGTAAAACACAATTAATGAAGAGAACTCAAACCAGCTGAGTACTGTACAACCCAATAAGTTAATGCAACTCAAATCGTTTGAGGAAACCGATTGCTACAAGCCATTTGAGTTAAGACTAATCTATACGAGTAGTGAACTTACTCCATTTACGTTAAAGTAGTGAGGTATTTAATGAACTCATTACCTTTAAGGTTTTCATTACCACGAAGTACTAAACTCGTTTCAAATGAGTAGAATCAACTTTCAGCTAATTTTGAGTTAGCTACACTCATTTAATTTGATAAGGTTGACTGTTGGGTTTTACAATGTAGCATTTGTGTATACGTTTTAGTTTTATCACACAGCCTTATTTACAGTGCTTGTATAAAGCACCCATAAAAACAAAATATTTTACATATAGATCTGAAACTTCTATCCATCTATTAAAATGGGCTAATAATAATAAGCATATACTTTTAATGAGTAAATATTTACTTGTCAGATGAGTCCGCTGTTTCCTCCTCTTATTCATCGTCCTCAATGTCGTCTTCTTGTTCTTCTTCAGAGGAAAAATGGTACTCTTCCTCGCGGTCTGCGTCCACCTGTGGAGTTTCATCGTGTTTGCTACGCAGCATCTCGACGAGAAAAAGTAAACAAAGATTGAACTTGCGATGTGGCTTGTGTAACGTTTCACCACACGTGCTCTGCGGGTGTGTATAGCCAAATATATGCACAAAACACACACACTAAAGGTTTTTCTCTCTCCTGTGTTGACCGAGAGTGCCGTTTGACGCCTAGCTTTACTTGCCCGTGCTGTTAGCCTAGCGTGCACATGCGCAGTGGGTATGTCCATATGCTGGCGGCCACACAATAAGCCTCGCCTCAGCTTCATGTTTAGATTTTCCGCCCAGCATTTAATCGCTGTGTAATTGTCATTTTGAGAAATACAGTAAATAAACATATTTAAAATCTTCCTCAGGTCATCACGTGCTTGTCCGTTGATTACATATTAGTAATGCCTGAGTTTTGCAATAAATGTCACTGCTGTTACTGTCTTGCTTAGTTAATATCGCACTGCATCAATTAGATTGTTATTTAATATTATTATCTTATTTTATAAAAGGAAGATCAATTTAGACCAAGTGTATGATTTTGTCAGGAAGTGGCACTTATCTCCTGCAGAATAGCAGAGATGATACAGGGTACGTCACGATGCAAATCAAAATGAAATTAAAAATGTTTTTTTGTGATGTTTTTAATACATCAAGTTAAAAATCTACATATATTACACATTATTGCATTCAAAGAATTAACAAAATTAAGTAACTAAAATGAGACTTAATTGTATCTTTATAAACTTCCAAGTTCAGTAAACATACGAAATATTTTTAAACAATTCTTGTTGACTCAACTACATGTATAAGTACTGGTAAAAAGAAAATCTCCTTCGTATGATAGACTGAGGTGGCTCTTAAAAGAGCCTTTGGGTTCTAATGTGTCGGAAATAAGCTTAAGCGCGCTCTCCACGGATGCGGCGGGCCAGCTGGATGTCTTTGGGCATGATGGTGACCCTCTTGGCGTGGATGGCGCACAGATTGGTGTCCTCGAACAGACCGACCAGATAAGCCTCGCTGGCCTCCTGCAGGGCCATGACAGCGGAGCTTTGGAAGCGCAGATCTGTCTTGAAATCCTGAGCGATTTCTCGGACCAGACGCTGGAAGGGCAGTTTGCGGATCAGCAGCTCAGTGGACTTTTGATAGCGGCGGATTTCTCGCAGAGCCACGGTGCCAGGCCTGTAGCGGTGAGGCTTCTTGACTCCACCGGTGGCGGGAGCGCTCTTACGGGCAGCTTTAGTGGCAAGCTGTTTCCTCGGCGCTTTGCCTCCAGTAGATTTACGGGCGGTCTGCTTGGTTCTTGCCATTATTACTGAACAGCTAATTACTCTTGGTGTTGAAGAATAATGCCTGTTTACGCAAACGCAGCGTTTTTATGTCTTGAGCTGTATTGGGAAATGTCCGTAGAAGCATCTGATTGGTTATTGCGTTTACGTCACAGTGTGACGTGCCCATTCTGGCCAATGGCTATGTTCTTCTTTTCAAACGGATGAATGACAACTTTTAGAATTATTTTGCGCGGGAAATTATTTTAAATATTTATTGTGATTTATTTAAAAATATACATAGTGAATTTGCAGTAAAAAATATGCTTTTTGCAAACAATCTTTCGTGATTTTGTGCAACCACCTGTTTTTTTTTATTTTAGGCATTTAAATGTGAGTAAATGAATAAAATGTGCGTTCACGTGCATGAAAACAATGTTGGATAAAGTTGTATACTCAATGGAAAACGCTTCCAACTTCATAAACTTAAGTCACATGTGTCCCCTTCCCTGTTTTGGATATTCGTTCGCCGTTTTGAAAATTCAATAACTATTTTGACTAAATCTAAAAGACATCATTCGCCCTGAAATAAAGTAATCGAAATAATACCCTTTACTACAGTGAATTATTAAAACTGGTGGTTGAAAAATTATTGCCTTTTACTAATATGTGGGTGGCTCTTAAAAGAGCCTTTTATTTTTCGGAAGAATCGAGCAGAGACGATTACTTCTTCTTGGGAGCCGCCTTTTTAGGCTTCGCCGCCTTGGGTTTGGCGGTTTTGGGCTTGACTGCCTTCACCTTCTTGGGGCTCTTGGCTGCTTTCTTGGCAGCTGCTGGTTTCTTTGCCTTCTTGGGGCTCTTGGTAGCCTTCTTGGCAGCCGCTGGCTTTTTGGCTTTCTTGGGGCTCTTGGTCGCCTTCTTCACAGATGTGGCCGCCGGTTTCTTCACCTTCTTGGGAGATTTCTTCGCGGCGGGTTTCTTAGCAGCAGGCTTCTTGGCTTTTGCGGCAGTTTTCTTAGCTGCTTTCTTGGGCTCGGCTTGCTTCTTGTTCAGCTTGAATGAACCAGAGGCGCCAGTGCCTTTGGGCTGGACCAGAGTACCGTTGAGCACCAAGGCCTTGACGGCGGTTTTGACGCGGGAATTGTTCTTTTCCACATCGTAGCCACCGGCAGAGAGAGCCTTCTTCAGGGCTGCGAGAGACACGCCGTGTCTGTCCTTGGATGCGGTCACAGTCTTGACGATAAGGTCGCGGACATTTGGGCCCGCTTTCTTGAGCTTAGACGCAGATCTCTTCTTCGGAGCTTTGGCCGGAGTGGCAGCGGGAGCTGGGGCGGTTTCAGCCATTTCTCTGAGCAGATCTATCACACGACGACGACTAGCAGTGAATAATGAGGTACTGCTGAGTGGCGCTGTGATCTTAACTGCCACATGAGAACCGTGTAGACTCAATCGCCGCTCGTCAGAAACTCTGAGCGCCTCTACCAAATAAATTGTGCTTTCTCTGTTCAAACACAGAGCAAAACAAGAGCCACAAAACATTTTTCAGCAGATTAGAAACACTTTAGTGATAAGAAGAGAATCAATGGTTTGTCATGGACTACAAAAGAGGAACGCTGTGAAGATATTTTGAGACTTATTGAGTCATTTGTCCATTGCTCTTTCACTGAAATTGTTTTGCTGTGCACACATGACTTGTGTTAAAAAATATGCAGCAAATATTAAAGTTTTATATTAATATTAAAGTTAATATTAAAATATTAACCTCTTGATCTCATATAATTTGCTAATCGTTATCAAGCAAATACACGATTTAGTAAGTTTTTAATGATGGTTTATTACTTTAAGACACTGCACCATTGTGTAGCATGTTGAACACTCTCAGAAAAGGTACACTGTGGTACAAAAATTGTTTCTTAAAAACAGTTTTGTACTTTTGCAAACAATGCTTACCTTAAAGTACAGAAAAGAACCTCTTATGATACTGTTCTGTAACTTTTATGGTACAATTGAAATGGAAGTGCTCAATTAAAAAAAGGTCTCTCTTTAATACAATATTTGTAAAAATAAATATGACTGGAAAGGCAAAGTGATTTCATGAATAATTTCCATATTAAAGCATGAATCATCATTTAAAAGCACATGCTTAAAAAACTCATAAACATGAATTACTAAGTTCTATAAAACAAAACAACTGGTAAAACACAACTGTGGGTGTTGTAAATTTAAAAACATTTAATACATTTTTAATAAACGTTTGGTAAGCATTTTCTGATAAATACATTTTCATTATTGATATCCACTATCAATTTGCTGTCCAATATATGCACATGAGCTGAACAAAGTCCTGCATATGCAGTGTTCATGTATACATTTTAGTTTTGTAAAATTATACAATACTTTTGCATAATTATATTTCTCTTTTAAATTAAATCAACTTTTAGATGATAACAAAGTATTATGTGAACATTGAAGAATTAGTTTTTTAGTATTGCACATGGGAGCATGTATTTTTGTAACATATTTGAGAAGTGTTGTGAAATGTATAGCAAAAAAAGATCTTTTGATTTAAGTTATTTTTTTTCCTTATTGTAAATTGAAAATGTGCATTTACACAAAAAGAAACTTTTTTTTGTAAACTGAAACATTGTTTAAAAAATTATTTGATATTTTATATTTACTGAAAATAAATTGTTACACATCTTGAGTAAAAAATAAAACATAATATGCAGCAAGAATTACTTATGCTTTTTTACATAAGATCCATTGATCTTATATCTTTTGCCAATTGCTTTCGGGAAATGTACGTTTCAGTGCTTTAAAACACTACACCAGTGTGTGTATTGGACATACATTATGCAAAATCAGTAAATAACGTTAGTAAATAACGAAGTAAACATCCCAAGTTTATTATATTTGTTGCAGTGGTACATTCAAACCGATTAATAAATTGCATTTTATGCAATGTCTGCTGTCCAAAATGCGGTCACTCCCGTGTCCTGAAAAGCGTCAAGTAAACACTGTGGAGTGTTAATGTGGTAGATAATTTACCTCAAGTTCCAAGGTGATTTTTTTTTTGTCTTTTCATAAAAACTTTAAGAAACTACTAATTAATGATTTAAATAATCACATATTCTCTGTTCTCAGAAAAAAAAATACGTTTTGCAACTTGCGTTGCATTTATACCAAAACAAAAGGAATTTGTTTGCTCATGCCCGCCTTGTAGGGTAGTTTTACTGCCTTAACTACCCAAGTACAAACCTGTTTTCAGGCTTTCATAGATCATTCTTAAATAGTCATTATATAAAAAGCCTTTCAAGCGATTTACTAAATGCAAATAAAGCGTTCCACAACTATTTAATTGGGATCATTAAACTCATGCAACTACTACAGTAATTAACATTTGAATTGAATCACTATGCTTTTCAAAATTTCCCTGACAAATGTGTCAAATAGTTTTATGACTTCTTTAAAGAGATTTTCTTTCACTGAAGATGTTAACCACTGTAGATGTAAGGTTTGTTAAATCTGACCACACAAGACAAACCTCTTTTGAAGACAAGATGGGTGGCTCTTAAAAGAGCCTTTGGTTGGATTAGGTTTCAATATTTTACTTGGAGCTGGTGTACTTGGTGACGGCCTTTGTGCCCTCAGACACTGCGTGTTTAGCCAGTTCACCAGGCAGCAACAGACGCACGGCGGTCTGGATCTCTCTGGAAGTGATGGTGGAGCGCTTGTTGTAGTGAGCGAGACGAGATGCCTCACCAGCGATGCGCTCGAAGATGTCGTTGACGAACGAGTTCATGATGCCCATCGCCTTGGAAGAGATTCCAGTGTCGGGATGAACCTGCTTCAAGACTTTGTAGACGTAGATAGCATAGCTCTCCTTCCTGGTCCTTCTGCGTTTCTTGCCGCTTTTGCTGGCGGTCTTGGTGACGGCTTTCTTGGAGCCCTTCTTGGGTGCAGTCTTCGCTGGTTCAGGCATGATGCTTCGAGACGATCAGAACAACTCTATACTCAGCAATGACGCACACTGGGTATTTATTCGGTTCTTATGGTAATTTCAGAAGAATTGGCCAACCCTATTTGATTTGTGTATTGGCGCAACGAAGGTGGAACAATGGTTTCATTGGTCAGACAGGAGAAAAGCTTGAGGGCAGATCAGCCAATTATTTGCTTCGGTATAGCAGCCCAGCCCCTCGTGCCACGCAAGATACATTTCCGCATATATATTGGGTGGTCTTCGTTTTTTCCCGCTCAAAATTACGTTCTGACATTTCGCAAATCAATGTTTACAATTATTGGAAAAAATAAACTCAACTAAAAGCTTCTTATAAGCGCAAATTATAAATTTATGAGTGTTAACTGCCTCCTCTTATGTTTTGTATTATATTTTCTTTCCTGTTCACGAAACTAGCAGGGTCAAAGGTCCTGCATAACTTACAAACACACAGGTTTAAAATATTTTTTTTATCAAACTCAGTTATATTTAAGGAGGCCTTTTACTAACGTTTCAAAAGCAGCTTTAAATACTGTCGCCATAGAAAAAAAAATTTCTGGTGGAATTTTATTGTGGATAGTACATGTTTTTAAAGGACAGTGTTAATCCAAAAGTACTACCGTTGCAAGTTAAATATGGGAGCAGTACACTGAAAATATTGCTTTATACTCGAATGTGCTCTTTTTCTTAGAAAATGTGGGTGGCTCTTAGAAGAGCCGTTTTTTAAGTTGTTGTAGTAACGTTTAACCTCCAAAGCCATACAGAGTGCGGCCCTGACGTTTCAGTGCATACACAACATCCATGGCTGTCACGGTCTTTCTCTTGGCGTGCTCTGTGTAGGTAACGGCATCACGGATCACATTCTCCAGGAACACCTTGAGAACACCGCGAGTCTCCTCATAGATCAGACCGGAGATGCGTTTGACCCCACCGCGGCGAGCAAGACGACGGATGGCAGGTTTGGTGATACCCTGGATGTTATCACGCAAAACTTTGCGATGACGCTTAGCGCCACCTTTTCCAAGCCCTTTGCCTCCTTTGCCTCTTCCTGACATGATAGTAGTTGTATCTTTGACTCAAGAATACATTCTAGCGCTACAATCGAGAAGCTTTACAGTCACTCAGACGACCTAGTTGAAACAGTCAAGGCGGAGCTACATCGCAACGTCACACTAGGCGTGTCAATCTTGAACTGTTTTAAATTATACTGAATGCAGATGGATGATGGAACACTAATAGCTGTTTTCTGAAGCTTTTTGTTACACTAAAGGTCAAGCAACAAATAAAATAATTGCATGTGTTAACATTATTGCACATAATATCGTTTGTGCAGCTGGAAGGGCATCCACTGCGTAAAATATATTCTGTATAAGTCGCCGGTTCGTTCCGCTGTGGTGACCCCTGATAAATAAAGGGACTAAGCCGAAAAGAAAATAAATGAATGAGGGGAAAACAAACAAGAACAGACGTAAGAAAAGGTAGCATATCATGTTCAGATATTAATGTAGTCTTAGCGTCACTCAGTAAATCAACATGGTCAGTTTTTAAAGATAATTGTAAGTAATCATTTTCCAATTATTGTGAATGTTGGTTTAAGATGGGTGTACAAAACTGCAGATTCAGAAAAAAAATCCATAAGATTAATGAAGCACTTCATTATAATAGCACTTCAAATGTAGCAGAGAAAATATAGATTTATATATGGTAAAGTAGTAAATGAAATATAATCTGCCACGTCAAGCAATCGGCAAATGGTACAAGGAAAGGGAAAAACATACCTTGGTGTCTTGAGGAATTCTGAAAATTAATTATAGTAAGACGTTTATATTTTAATAGGGGTAAGTTTTTTTTTTATTATTTTAGATTATCATAGAAATAAAGCTTGTTTAAAATGTCATGAAGAGGACAGCTTATCAACGTTTTTGTTATACAATAAACATGAACAATTATCTGAGTACAGTTTGGCATATGATAAACCATTAATAGAAGTCACAGCTCCAGAAAAATGGGAAAATAGCCAATACAAATAGAGAAAAAGTCACAATTTTGGCACAAACATTATAACTCACACCAGTGATAATCTAGATTATGCACTTCTAACAAAACAACAAATTGTGGATTTATATGAAGAAGTTTGATGAAAAAGTTGGATTAGAATAGCAGTTTACACGATGAATTTAAATATTTTGAGCTCAGAATAGTCATCAATAATAAATAATAAGACCAGGTAAGGATATACTTATTGTAAACGAATAAAAAAAATATTTGATGACATTTTGTTGATTAGAATATTCAGAAATACACAAAAATAAATGGTATATCGATCTTTTAAGACATATTGAGGTGGCTCTTAAAAGAGCCTTTTGGTTTTTAAACGTCAGAAGTGAGTTTAAGCGCGCTCTCCGCGGATGCGGCGGGCCAGCTGGATGTCTTTGGGCATGATGGTGACCCTCTTGGCGTGGATGGCGCACAGGTTGGTGTCCTCGAACAGACCGACCAGATAAGCCTCGCTGGCCTCCTGCAGGGCCATGACAGCGGAACTCTGGAAGCGCAGATCTGTCTTGAAGTCCTGGGCGATTTCTCGGACCAGACGCTGGAAGGGCAGTTTGCGGATCAGCAGCTCAGTGGACTTCTGGTAACGGCGAATTTCTCGCAGAGCCACGGTGCCAGGCCTGTAGCGGTGAGGCTTCTTGACACCGCCGGTGGCCGGGGCGCTTTTACGGGCAGCTTTAGTGGCAAGCTGCTTCCTCGGCGCTTTGCCTCCGGTAGACTTACGGGCGGTCTGTTTGGTTCTTGCCATTGTAGGTGTAGCGCTAGATTCAAATCTAGTAGACTAGTGATGTCTGCTGTAGGCTCAGCTTTTTAATACAAAGACAGTGGTTATTGAGGCATTTGATTGGCCGTTGCATTTACGCCATATGGGGGACGTACACTCTTGAACCAATAGCTATGCGTTACTTCTTTTTGAACGAAGGAGTGAGAACAGTCTGCTTTTCCCGCTCAAATATTAAAAAGCCCCAGTGTCATTTCTCGTTACACGCTTAAAAACAAAAGGCAATCGCGTTAATATATATTTTTATTTGATTATAAGTAACCTAATGGCAGAAAATCACTTTTCTGGCCTGCCAAATCTATATAAACCATAACTAAAAATAAGGTTAATTCCTCCTTTCCTAATGTGAAGACAAACAACCTAAAACATACCAGTGTTGTTTTTAAAAAAAAAATAATTTTGACATTAATTCAGAGAAAAATATACGGATTCAAAAAAAAATTCCAGTTGGAATTGGTGTAACAGCTTTTAATAAATGTGAGTATATCTATTCACATACACGCTATGGTTTTTATCATTAAATTTCACAAGTGCAAACAACTTCTAGTTGGCACTAAAGTTTACACCTCACCAGCTAGTTCATCAACTTTTAGTCTAGCTTTATGTCAAAACAACGCTACTTTAGATATTATAGTCATTTGTAGTTATACTAGATTATAACTTCAGATTGTTAAAATGCTCTTTATAGTATAAGTGGGTGGCTCTTAAAAGAGCCTTTGGGGAATTAAAACTTAATAGTTTATTTGCCTTTGGTGGCCTTCTCGGTCTTCTTGGGCAGCAGCACGGCCTGGATGTTGGGCAACACACCACCCTGAGCGATGGTCACTCCGCCCAGAAGCTTGTTCAGCTCCTCGTCGTTGCGCACCGCCAGCTGCAGGTGACGGGGGATGATACGGGTTTTCTTGTTGTCCCGAGCGGCGTTTCCAGCCAACTCCAGGATCTCAGCGGTCAGATACTCGAGCACAGCGGCCAAGTACACTGGAGCACCGGCACCGACGCGCTGAGCATAGTTACCCTTACGGAGAAGCCTGTGGACACGGCCAACGGGAAACTGAAGACCTGCTCTAGAAGAGCGAGTCTTGGCCTTTGCTCTAGCCTTTCCTCCGGTTTTGCCTCTTCCGCTCATGATGCTCAGCTGTGTCTCAAAGAACAACGAATACTGCTGAATCTTGGTGGTTAGCTTTTAAAGGTAACGTACTTCTCGCCTATTGGTCAGAGTCGGTCTTAGTTGACAACCAATGACTACACTTCCCTCCAAATAGCAAGCGCTTCCTCCTTCTCTCAAATAATCGCTTCAATAAAGTTGTGCAACAGATCTATGATAACTTGAAGAAAGGTTTTGAACCCTTTCAATTGTTAACTATGGATAATATTGTTATTGTCTGATTTGTGTTATGCATTTAGAGACATTTTTGGAGCACATTTTGTTTTACATTGAACAGCGATGCCAATCTTTCCTTCAAACAAAACTTATATGCATGGATACATTTTTTTTTAGAATAAACCTTTATTATCTGGGATATTTAACGTTACATTCCACCTTCCAATCTTAAACTTTACCAGCCTTGTCATCTACAACAGCTTCTCAAATTAACATAGTAACATTGATTTATGTGCATCTTTGTGAATATTTTTTATTAAATAGAGAACAAAAATCTAAACAAAACTAAACAAAAATCCCATTCGTGTCACTTACCTTACTTAAATTAATGCAAAAATCAATATATCTGTGTGACCAACACAAGTTTTAGATCACACAAAGCTTAAATTATAATTTAAATATAATCCTCGTGTGAATTTTATTGTGTAAATATATATATTTACTTCATTATGAAACTAACAATATATCTAAAAAATAAATAAATAGTACAACTTGGTATTCTCTTAACACTGTCGGCAGGCGTGAAAAGGCGTTGCCGTGACCAGACAAAGAGGACACCACAGCTAAGAGCAAACTGGTTCTGTCTTATTCACACTAAAGCAGGGGAGCACAAACTTGGTCAGGCCGATGTTCTGCAAAGTTTAGTTCTAACCCCAATCAGACCCACCTAGGTTAGCGAATCAAGTTCTTAATAGCTGGAATTTCTGGACACATCCGTCTAAATGTGATTATACAAGTTGAGAGTTTTAAAATCAAGACTGCGAACTGAATTCAAGTATGATTGGAGTTCAGAAAGAAAATCTGCTGTTACTTGGTGTCACAGAAGCCACATAGCTGCTGTTCAAGCCACAAATTAAATCTATACCCATACACATATAGATATACCCATACACATATAGACATATAGACACCTAAAGTGAGATTGTATGGCCTCTAACATTTGACCAAGTGAACAAAAAACACCATGAACAAAATAAAGTCAAGTATTTCTTAAGGTAAACAAAACCATTCTTAAGTGGTGGTTTATAATATTAACTGCTACACCGTGAACTTACGTGCGAAGAAATGTAATACCCTTTTATAAGAAATGATTGGTGGCTCTTAAAAGAGCCTTTGGGGTGGCAGAAGTTGACTAAGCGATTTACTTGGAGCTGGTGTACTTGGTGACTGCTTTAGTGCCCTCAGACACTGCGTGTTTAGCCAGTTCCCCGGGGAGCAGTAGACGCACGGCAGTCTGGATCTCTCTGGAAGTGATGGTGGAGCGCTTGTTGTAGTGAGCGAGACGAGACGCCTCACCAGCGATGCGCTCGAAAATGTCGTTGACGAACGAGTTCATGATGCCCATCGCCTTGGAAGAGATCCCAGTGTCGGGATGGACCTGCTTCAACACCTTGTAGACGTAGATAGCATAGCTCTCCTTCCTGGTCCTTCTGCGTTTCTTGCCGCTTTTGCCGGCGGTCTTGGTGACGGCTTTCTTGGAGCCCTTCTTGGGTGCGGTCTTCGCTGGTTCAGGCATGTTGCTTCGAAATGATCAGAACAACTCTATACTCAACAACAAGGCACGCTGGGTTTTTATTCGGACCTTATGCAAATTTCAGAGGGAAAACTCAGCCCTGTCTGATTTGTGTATGGCGCGATGAATGTGTGACACTGTTTTCATTAGCCAGATTGAAAACAGTGGTTTAGCCAATGGTGTGCTTCGATACTGTAGTCTCCACCCACGTAAATCTTTCGCCTTGATATCATTGTTCATTGTTTAACTTTCCCGCTCGAATTTACACTCCGGGTTAACATTTTTTGTACTTTTAGATTATTTACATGTATATGAAAAAGTCAGTAAATAGATGTTTCTAGCAAGCGCACATTTAATAAAACCTTTGATAAATTTGGTGGAGTTTCTTTTTTAACAAAAGAGCAACTTCACCCCACTATTTGTGATTATTTTGTATTATTTATAAGCAAAAAATCTTGTATTTGGGACGTTCACATTTTATGACAGAAAGAAAAAGGAAACAATAGTGAGCATATGCATTAATTACAATAGAATTGTGAAATTATTGATTTCGAATCCGTAGTTCTGGTTTCTGAATAGTCCTTAAACGGTATGTTCTCAAAGAGTATATTCTACAAAAACATCATACTGTAGAGCAATTAATCAATCTCTAATATTTTTTTATTTTCTCTCAAGTCCGGCTAAAATAATCACAAATCCTGCTGATAATGCTTAAATACTGAATTTAAAAACTGAATTTAGAGTTTCTGACATTAGAATATAATCCTTACCCAATTATTATAAAAAGTACATACTTCCTCAGCTTACCTACGTATAATGCAAATTATATTTTAATATAAAATACATACCTAATATGAAAATAAAAGATGTACTCTAACGTTTTAAATACAAAATTGTGTTCCATGCTAAATAAAAAGCTTCAAGGAAATCTGTAAATGCTTGTGTATTGAGCAGTACAACTGATAAGTTCATAAAAACTGAACTGAAAACGTAAACTATCTGTATTACGCTATACGCAAATTAATCAAGTCATACTCTTACTTAAAGGTGCTCTTCTTGTAAGTATGTGGGTGGCTCTTAGAAGAGCCTTTGGTTTTATGATGGACAGACAGAAATTTAACCTCCGAAACCGTACAGAGTACGTCCCTGTCTCTTCAGCGCGTAGACAACATCCATGGCTGTCACGGTCTTTCTCTTAGCATGCTCAGTGTACGTAACAGCATCACGGATCACATTCTCCAGGAACACCTTGAGAACACCACGAGTTTCCTCGTAGATCAGACCAGAGATACGTTTGACTCCACCACGGCGAGCGAGACGACGGATAGCGGGTTTGGTGATGCCCTGGATGTTATCACGCAGAACTTTACGGTGACGCTTAGCGCCTCCTTTTCCAAGCCCTTTACCACCTTTACCTCTGCCAGACATGATTACTTCTGGAAGCAGTGTTGTAATACGGCAACATGCACGCCCAAGCGACTTTTACAATCATCTATAGGACCTTGTTGAAACACTCATAGGCGGTCCTTTATAAAGTCACGTGTCTTTAAGGGGGCGATGGAAAGGGGGTTAGGCCACGTTTACTGGCGACTGTTCAAATAAGTTGTCAACTTCTCTGCTTAAGAATATATTTAAGATGTTTATACCAAGTAAACAGAATCTTTATTTATTACTGTGTTGACAAATGCATAAAAATACTAATACAAACTCAATTTTTGGATTTTTCTAACTAATGCTGGAGTCTTATTCTTAGGCTGACATTTACTTTACAACCCTTCCCTGAATAAAATGTATGAGAATTGAGTTTTGGAATATCGTATATATCGTATAACACATTGCTTAATATAAGAATGTTCAGTGCATTTGCCTGTCTCTTTATAACTATTTACACAAGCCACCAAACTAGGTCAGAGGTCACGGAGACCTTGAGTGGAACTGAGGGCTGAGGACAAGAAGCAACTGTTTCTATTGTTATTTCTACCAGTTAATACTATCTAAAATGTCTAAAGTGATTTTGCTATTTTTACGGTTAAATCTTTTAAATTGATTCTACTTTTATTCAAGATAGACTTTGTATAGTAAGAATATAACTGCCTGAATGTTGATTATACCAGTTGTTACATTTTAGTCCCTTTTCTAGGAGTACGGAGACAAAAGTAACAAAAAAAAAATTAGGATAAAAAATATATCAAATTTTAATTGGATCGAATTAATAATAAATTATTATTTAATAATGTGCGTGGAATATCTCTTTTTTCTCTATCCCAGCATACGTACACTTTAGATATAATAACAAAAAAAAAAAACTCTGAAAAGAGATTTCAAAAGAAAAATATTATCTTTTATTCACTGTTTAACAAAATTCAATATTTTTTTTTACATTTCCAGACAGGGCAAACCAAAACAAAGAGATATTTAAATGAAAATTATCCCAACCAAAATCATCATGAGAGGGTAAGGCCAAAATAACCAACAAAACAAAAACTTCCTAAATTAACAAAAAGTTCTAGATTTCCTATTATATATATATATATATATATATATATAAAAAGAAAACTCAAAATCAATGACAATGCTCTTACCCCACAACCTGGCTAAATCCAGAAACAAGAGGAAACTTAAAGGATTAAACCCAAAATAAATCAGCACTCGTCTCTCTACACAGCTTACTTTTCACAAAGTTACACGTCACACTTATTCACACTATAATCTCACAAGCTCACAGTTCTCAATATCCAACAAAAATCTCTATCACACTATAATCACTGGGTTAGGGAAAACAGGGACTCTCTCGGTGCTTTGCCGCTCTGCCTCTTTATAAAGCCTGGAAGCTCAATCAACAGCAACCGATCCGATTTGCTCTGATTGAAAACAGGTGCGGCTGGTTTGGAACGCTGCTCAATGAGAGAGAGAGAGAGAGAGAGAGCGATTAATAAAACAAAAGGGGGAGCAATAAGCTGCCACTCACACCAACAACTTATTAGCTAAATACATCATGGATGTAACAGTTTTTAACCAGTTTCGATAAAGACGGCTAAGAGTACACTCAGCCTTGGATAAGAAACAGATTATACTTTGTGTGTGTGTTCTATTTGATTGTTGATCCGTTTCACTGGTCCGGAGTCAGCTCTAATCAGTCTAAGGGATGTCTGACGTTTATGCTTAAGATATTGTTCAGAATATACTGTTACATCCTATGATGTATTTAGGTAATTGGTTGTTGGTGTGAGTGGCAGCTTATTGCTCTCCCCTTTTGTTTTATTAATCGCTCTCTCTCTCTCTCTCTCATTGAGCAGCGTTCCAAACCAGCCGCACCTGTTTTCAATCAGAGCAAATCGGATCGGTTGCTGTTGATTGAGCTTCCAGGCTTTATAAAGAGGCAGAGCGGCAAAGCACGGAGAGAGTCCCTGTTTTCCCTAACCCAGCGATTATAGTGTGATAGAGATTTTGTTGGATATTTAGAACTGTGAGCTTGTGAATCTTGTGAGATTATAGTGTGAACAAGTGACGTGTAACTTTGTGAAAAGTAAGTCATGTAGAGAGACAAGTGCTGATTTATTTTGGGTTTATCCGTTAAGTTTTCTCCTGTTTCTGGATTTAGCCAGGTTGTGGGGTTAGAGCAATGTCATTGATTGAGTTTTATATATTTATATATTTTTATATATATATATATATATATAAACGTCCCTGATGTTACTTGTCTAGGAGTAACAGTGAAAAAGTTTTAAAAATGTTGGTTGGGGTGAGTATGGGTCAATCCCCTGCCTTGACAACAACATACCAAATTCAAGTTAAATAAATTTATTAACAAATGTACAATAGTAAAACAAAACTGGGAAGCAAAAATAGACTTCAGGAGGGGGAGAGGCCAAAACAACAAACAAAAGTACACTCTAGCTAGTTAGGGAGTAAAACTGTCTAAACTGACAAAGTAAAATTATATCAACAAAAGAAATGTACACTAACTCCCTAACTAATAAACAAAAGAAAAAGGGTTTTAGAAATAAAATGGCACCCACCTCCCTACAGCTTCCAAACACATAGTTAGTGTCAAAAACAGAGCTCGAATGGCTTCAGAGGCTTTAACAACAGATTTTAACTTCAACAAGTTAAACACAACCGCACCGATAGATTTTTTTTTTTTTTTTCTCAATAGAGCAACCAGGCAGGAGCGAGACCACACTCTGGAAGCAAGCTTCAATGTGGCTTGCAACTGGCAGGCTTTTAAGCTTGCCGGGCAACGAGTAGCAGGTGCAATCAATCAACTTCCTCTCCTCCACACCTAGCTGAGAAACAGGTTGCAGGAACGGAGAGGGAGGGAGGGAGAGAGAGAGAGAAACCAAACACAATTATACATTCAAAACACCATGGAATGTAACATGTAATCTTGTGAGATTATAGTGTGAATAAGTGTGACGTGTGACTTTATGTGAAAAGTAAGCTGTGTAGAGAGACGAGTGCTGATTTATTTTCGGTTTATCCTTTAAGTTTCCACTTGTTTCTGGATTTAGCCAGGTTGTGGGGTAAGAGCATTGTCATTGATTTTTTAGTTTTATATATATATATATATAATATATTGATATATATATATATATATCAAAATGATTATGAGAGGGTAAGGCCAAAATAACCAACAAAACAAAAGCTTCCTAAATTGACAAAAAGTTCTAGATTTCCTAATATATATATATATATATATATATATATATATATATATATTAGGAAATCTAGAACTTTTTGTCAATTTAGGAAGCTTTTGTTTTGTTGGTTATTTTGGCCTTACCCTCTCATAATCATTTTGATTAGGATGATATTCATTTAAGTATCTCTTTGTTTTTGTTTACCCTGTCTGGAAATGTAAAATATATTGAACTTTGTTAAACAGTGAATAAAAGATAATATTTTTCTTTTGAAATCTCTTTTCAGAGTTTTTTTTGTTATTATTATATCTAAAGTGAACTTATGCTGGGATAGAGAAAAAGGAGATTCTCCACGCACATTATTAAATATTATTGTATTATTAATTCGATCCAATTAAAATTTGATATATATATTTTTTTTCCTAATTAATTTTTTTTTGTTACTTTTGTCTCCCTACCCCTAGAAAAGGGACTATAAAATATAAAATACGCACAAACCTTACGTGAAAATTTCGTAGTCTATCTGTGTTTTAACCAATCAGGTTAGAACTCCTATATGTGTGACGCAGTTAAAGACGTTATATGAGAGTATAATTGTTATTGATTGGTGATTGTAAGCAGAGCGGCCTAGGAACTCATTGCGAGTGTTGAAGCTGGCTTCTGTTGATGTAACTGCAAATTTTCTTCAGTAAACTTGATTTATTTGAATCTCTGACCCCGGCTCTTCTTCATCTACCAGACTGGTCATTCTTTGGGTCAAACTGTAAACTATCCCTACAGGTTTGTGATAAAAATTAATTGCTGGAAATGACACATTTCTAAAAACTTTGGTAACTTTTGTAGAATGCATGTGGTGTTTTGGCACAACAGGCAATCACTATTTAAAATCCTTTCAAATATGTTAAAAATAAAAATGCTTTTAAAACAGCCGGACCTGGTATATGAAGAACTCCACATTAAAAACAATATATTTTGAAAATGTAATTTTAAGGAACACCTATTGGAAAAACATTAGAAATGGGAAATATGATAAATAAAATGTATCCTTGTTTCACTTCTTTCAGGTAAAGCATATACAGCTGTTCTGGAGCTAAGGTGAAAACAGGGTCTTTTAGTAGTGTGTGTTGGGGTGGGTCATACCAACTCTAAAAATACCTGGTTGAAATCAGATGGCTAGAAATGCTAATTGTATACAAATTAATTCAAACTTGAAATTGATATGTAATGGGAATTAACAACTAATGCAATTTCTTCTCAATTTACATATTAAAGTGCGCATGAAATCAAAATTTGCAGTGTTTATATTACTTGGTTTTTAGGTGATCAATAATCAGTGCAAATTAATCCTATCAAGACAGCCACTAGGCTATTCAGAGCTGACCCCAGACCTGTATGAAGAATCTATAAAAGAGTTTAACACACACAGAGCACACCCTGTTTTATACTTCACGTTGTTTCTTTTTGTCAGCCATCTCATCAAACTGGTAAAATAAGCATAGCAGAGTAATATAAACAGCTCCTTTTATAACACAATCATTTAAACAAGTTGGTTATTTCACATCGTTAAATTCACATCTAGTGAAGCTGTTAAAGTAGCATCAAACATCCAGTTCCACATGAGAGGTCTCAGTGACCTCTTGAATGGGTCTGAAGATATAAATACAAGATACAAGAGGACAAAACTTGGCATAAAGAAAAAGCAATGACAAATCATTCTAGTTTTACTCTGAAGAGAGATGACATTAAGATCATCATATAATCAGAATCAGAGATATGTTGCTTGGTATGTTCAGACACAAGGAATTTGTTTTCGTGATAGAGCTTCCATAGTGCAACAGAATGACTGAGACAGGACAAAAAAACTGATAAATAAATATATTTGAAAAATATAGGTAAGTAGTGAATGCAAATATACAAATTGACAAGTTTATGCACAGGTATATAACTATATACAATGTTATATGTGCAGCTTTTATGTGCAAATTGGCATGTAAAGTGTGTTATTAAATAAGTGTGTATGTGTATAAGTAGTAGTGATGTTGGTTCCACAATTACTATCATCAAGTGTTCATGAGATGGATTGCCTGAGGGAAGAAGCTGTTTCTGTGTTGGGCTGTTCTGGAGCACAGTGCTCTGTAGTGCGACCAGAAGGTAACAGTTCAAAGAGGTAGTCGCTGGGTGTGAGGGGTCCAGAGTGATTTTGGCAGCCCTTCTGCTTACTCTGGTTGAGTACAAATCATGAGTACCAATGATTTGCTTAGCAGTCCAAACTTCAAACTCCGTCTTCGCAGGTCAGATCAGGTAGCTGAGCTAAACCAGACAGTTATTGATGTGCAGAGGATAATCTAGGCCAGGGATAACCAAACTTATTCCTGGAGGTCCAGTGTCCTGCAGATTTGAGCGCCAACCCTAATCAAACACACCTGAACAAGCTAATCAAGTTCTTACTAGAAACACCCAGGCATGTGTTGAGGCAAGTTGGAGCTAAACCCTGCAGGGCACCGGACCTCCAGGATTGAGATTGGTGATCCCTGATCCAGGCCCTTAAACTCAACATCATTAATAATGACAATGAAGTCATATGAAATAATTTGCATTTCATCCGTAAACCGACATCCATCAGAAAATCCACCCCTTTATTCTAATCGTCAAAGGTGAGATATCAGTGCATATAAATGAATGGTGTTGGACAATTATTGGAAATTTAGACACAAACTTCATGTCTGCTGATGAGGCACTGACGAATCGTCAACCTACACACCATGTTTTACACAGCTGATGCCAAAAGCTGCAACCCAGTGCTGGGAAACATCCATACTGTCATTCACACACATAGCGCATGTCTTTGAACTAGGTACCATATGCAGGCATCTCTCCCTAAAAGAATGTTTCCAGTTTGTCTTTTACCACCTGATAGTGTACCGTTCTCCCAATATATACGGACACCAAACATTAGTTAGTTCTGCACTAGAAGATAATATGTTGAAAACACTAATTATTTACTCAACCACACAAACTGTTCACCAATAAAAAGCTATTATCAACATAGTTGAAACTAAATACTTAGCTCTTATTAAGCCTGCTTTTACGTTTAGAAGTTGTTGGTGAAAATAGTCCCTTAAAGACATGGAAGTGGCTCTTAAAAGAGCCTTTGGGTTTTAATGTGTCGGATTAAGCTTAAGCGCGCTCTCCACGGATGCGGCGGGCTAGCTGGATGTCCTTGGGCATGATGGTGACCCTCTTGGCGTGGATGGCGCACAGATTGGTGTCCTCGAACAGACCGACCAGATAAGCCTCGCTGGCCTCCTGCAGAGCCATGACAGCGGAGCTCTGGAAGCGCAGATCTGTCTTGAAGTCCTGGGCGATTTCTCGGACCAGGCGCTGAAAGGGCAGTTTGCGGATCAGCAGCTCAGTGGACTTCTGATAACGGCGGATTTCTCGCAGAGCCACGGTGCCGGGCCTGTAGCGATGAGGTTTCTTGACGCCACCGGTGGCTGGAGCGCTCTTCCGGGCTGCTTTGGTGGCGAGCTGCTTCCTCGGAGCTTTGCCTCCAGTGGACTTACGGGCGGTCTGCTTGGTTCTTGCCATTGTCAGTGAACTGCTAGCTTACTCTTTATTGCTAAAGAGAAATGTAGTTGTTGACGCAGAGCTGTCTCTTTTTAAGCTCTCCCACTACAGTGAAGAGGGCCTGTAGAGGCGTTTCATTGGCTGTTGCATTTAGGTCGCAGTGTGACGTGGATATTCTGTCCAATGGCTGCACACATTTTTTAAACAAGTGACAACCGGCTGGTTTTCCCGCTCAAAAAAAATTTATGTTAAGTTCTCTTTACACAGTAATGGCGATATTACCATATACTTACATTCTCATGTAGATTAATTTATGATGTTACCTTTTCACGTTAAGTCAACAAAAATATATATTTTCGAGTGGATTGAAAATAGGCTACAGATGTAGACTTGTATGGAAAACTAAAGTGTGATTTTCAGATTTGGCTCAATGCAGAGGTACCCTCATTTATGAACAAAAAAAGTGAATTCTTTCAATATCAATTTATTTACATATTCGATGTCGTTCAGGCGGTTTATATTGTACTTAATTCATAAAGTATGTACACACTACAGTGGATTATTTGTAAAACTTAGGTGATTGGAAAAAAATGCCTTTTTCTACTAAGTGGGTGGCTCTTAAAAGAGCCGTTTGGTTTTTGGAAGAGTCGAGCAGAGACGATTACTTCTTCTTGGGAGCCGCCTTTTTAGGCTTCGCCGCCTTGGGTTTGGCGGTTTTGGGCTTGACCGCCTTTACCTTCTTGGGGCTCTTGGCTGCTTTCTTGGCAGCTGCTGGTTTCTTTGCCTTCTTGGGGCTCTTGGTCGCCTTCTTTGCAGCCGCGGGCTTCTTGGCTTTCTTAGGGCTCTTGGTCGCCTTCTTCACAGATGTGGCCGCCGGTTTCTTCACCTTCTTGGGAGATTTCTTAGCGGCGGGTTTCTTGGCAGCAGGCTTCTTGGCTTTTGCGGCGGTTTTCTTAGCTGCCTTCTTAGGCTCGGCTTGCTTCTTGTTCAGCTTGAATGAACCGGAGGCGCCTGTGCCTTTGGGCTGTACCAGAGTACCGTTGAGCACCAAAGCCTTGACGGCGGTTTTGACGCGGGAGTTGTTCTTCTCCACATCGTAGCCGCCAGCAGAGAGAGCTTTTTTCAGGGCTGCGAGAGACACGCCATGTCGCTCCTTGGATGCGGTCACAGTTTTGACAATAAGGTCGCGGACATTTGGGCCCGCTTTCTTGGGCTTAGAAGCAGATCTCTTCTTAGGAGCCTTAGCTGGAGCGGGAGCTGGAGCGGTTTCAGCCATTTCTCTAAACAGTAACGTTCACACGTCGACAACAAGCAGTGAATTATGATGCTCTACTCGGCGGCGCTGTCAACTTAAATGCCACGTGAGAACCGTGTAGACTCAATTGCCGCTAATCTAAGCGCCTCTACCAAATAAATTGTGCTTTCTCTGTTTAAACACACAGCAAAACAAGAGCCACAAAACATTTTTTGCACACTAGAAAGACTTAAGTGATATGACGAGGACCTTGGCTTTGTCATGGAATTCAAAAGGGAGACGACATAAAGATGTGTTGAGACTTTTTGAAGCATTTGTCCTCACTATGTTCTTATACTGAACACTGTCCACGCTACTGCCTGTCAAAAAATCTGTTAAGAACTAAGCAATCATTTTATATAATAACTAAGTCTGTTATAAGTGTTGCAGTGGTCTAACACTAATAGAAACGGATTAGTATAACGATTTGTGTATAATATCTGCCGTCCAAACATGAAAAAAAACATGTCCTTAAAAAGTGTGTCGACAAAGGAAATATTTTCAGTCTAGATTAATGTTTAACTTTAGCTTCCAGGGTGGATTTTTTATTTTTGGCTTAATCACAATCACTTCCATTTTTTTGTGCTTACCTTTACAAAAAAATCTACACACAATTCTCAAAGCACACACAACATGCCCTTTGTTTCCTTCAGAATGTAACACTGCATTCAAAATGCTATAAACATATGTCTGAAATTAAGCGTTTGCATCAAATGGCAAAAATCTTTTTCAATAATAGTAAATGTTTGGATATAACATTGTACATGGTAAACACTGTAGTTCTAAATTTCCTAAAGGTCCAGCCTAAAGTTCTCTTTGCTCTTTCATTGGCTTATCTCTACATTTCAATAGTGTTCTAAGGTGAAAATTTTCTGCTAAGAGTAACAGGTACACTGTAAAGTATGTAGAAAAAAATATATATTTATTAGGTCAAACATTATTGTTGCAATAGCATACGATAAAAAACAAACATATTGTTAAAAAACGTGAGTAAAGCAAAAAGTATAGAATACAGTAGGGAACACAATTGTGTGCGAGTAAGGGGTTGGAGTAGCGTCCATTGCCTGTAGAAGCATCGTCCAGACATGGGGTTGGCCGTTATACACTTTAGAGAACCAGGCTTCTTTTCTAAAATATTTTTGTTTTGTGGATGGGTGACAAACCAGTTTTGTTTCTTTCGCACTAGAAAAAGCCTAGTGGCCTGTTGTCATGTTGGACTTTCAATTGGTTTGTGATCAGTTAAGAAATTAGTTTACACATTAGGAAAAGAAAAGCCAGTAATGTCCTGTTTTGTGTTTTAGGTAGAAATTGTGTAAAGCGTTTTGATTTATACAATTAAAAACAAAAGTTTAAGGCTGAGAAATAGTTTCTGGTTTTGGAGATTTAATGTGTAGTTTTGAGTGAGAGGCTTCAGAAATTGTGTGACATGAAAAGATTGTGTAAGCAGCTGGAAAAACTGTAAATACAATACTTTTTTCAAAGAGTCACTATAGGGTCACTTTTATGTAACCTTCCATCTTTAGTATAACCGTGTCAAGGAAAATAAAAAATATGAATCTTTGTTTCATTACACTAAATCCAAATTAATTGTTTAGTTGCCACCGAACAGGCATTAATAAACTGCCCTGCAGTTTTTACTGAAAATCTTTAAAGGAACACAGATAGCAAAATAAAGCTCTCTTGCTGAGAAGGTGGGCTCTTATAAGAGCCTTTAGGAGTAACTGAAAGAGTTGCAACGCTTTAATTGGTAAAGTTTATGAATCAACTTATTTAACATACTTGGCTCATACTACAATTTCTACAAGATGGTTAAATATTGTCTATATAAACACAACTACGTTTGTTTGTTTGCAGGTTAAGTTTGTATTTAATTACTTGTTTTATCCTGCTGACGTCATTGTTGTACTGCAAGTCAATCACAGTGCAATTCTAGTTTAACTAACATTACTGCTCAATCTTTTTGATTAACAGGGTCAATAAAACCCCAAATAATACCCCAACATACAACTCAATTATAGGTTATTATAGCATCTTCCCAACTATGGGTTATTTTAACCCAGTGCATTTGGTTAATTTTATTAATTATTTTTTCTATTCTGAATCAGGATCATAAACAGTAAAGTACTATAGAATAATTTATTTTAAGTGAAACTTAACACAAAAAAAAAAGCTCTTTCACAGATGAAATGGGTGGCTCTTAAAAGAGCCTTTGGGGTGGCTGAAGATTATTCAGCGTTTTACTTGGAGCTGGTGTACTTGGTGACGGCCTTTGTGCCCTCAGACACGGCGTGTTTAGCCAGTTCACCAGGCAGCAGCAGACGCACGGCGGTCTGGATCTCTCTGGAAGTGATGGTGGAGCGCTTGTTGTAGTGAGCGAGACGAGACGCCTCACCGGCGATGCGCTCGAAAATGTCGTTGACGAACGAGTTCATGATGCCCATCGCCTTAGAAGAGATCCCAGTGTCGGGATGGACCTGCTTCAACACCTTATAGACGTAGATAGCATAGCTCTCCTTCCTGGTTCTTCTGCGTTTCTTGCCGCTTTTGCCAGCGGTCTTGGTGACGGCTTTCTTGGAGCCCTTCTTGGGCGCGGTCTTCGCTGGTTCAGGCATGCTGCTTCGAGGTGATCAGAACAACTCTATACTTTACAATGATGCACACTGGGTATTTATTCGGCTCTTATGCAAATTTGAGAAGAAAAGCTCAACCTTGTCTGATTTGTGTATAGGTGCAATGAATGTGTAGCACTGATTTCATTGGCCAGAAAGCAGACATACTTGTTATCAATACTCTAGGCTCCTCCCAAGAGAAACTTCCGCGTAGATGTTCTTTGTTTAACTTTCCCGCTCGATTTTACGTTCTGGGTAAACATTCTTTATATAATTGAATTTTTTTTGAAAATTGAAAATAATAAAGTAATATAGTTTCTAGCACTAAGAGCACTTTCAGTGGAATTTATTATAATTTCATTGGTGTTTTTAACAAGAGGTGTGCCCCACACAGTAAGATTTATTTTTTGTTTAAAGGAAATTATTAAAAATAGGACGTTCTCATTTTGTCACAGGAAAACAAGAAGGGCAGACCAAATCATTAATTACAATAGAACTGTGAAAATCAGTAGTTCTGGTTTCTTAAAAGTGTTTTAATAGTATCAAATTAAAACCTTAAATTGCATATTCTCAAAAGAGGTTAGATATAAAGGCGTTTTATCTTTTTTTTTTATCTTTAATAATATCCAAGTTTGACCTTTTTCACTTAAGTCTTGCAAAATCTCAAATATTCAGTTAATACTGCATTTACAATAATGCATTTTACTTAACTTTGCGACCATGAGCATAGAATTCTTACCCATTTGTACAGAATAATGGCCTTTTTACATTTCAGTTCAGCTGTTCAGTATTGCATACAAGAAGAAACATGTTTGAATAACGTAGTATTTAAAGCCATATTTTTGTATTGGTTAAACTAAATTTCTTCTCACAAATCTGTATACGTTTAATAAACATCAATATTACATATATCTTAGTTAAACTAAATTTAATCTGAACATTTTGAAAATTGAATTTTATTTTTCCCGCTCAAACTGTTTTAAACTGCAGATTACACAAAACTGCACTGTCTGAACTCATTAGCACGGTGAGCTTAAAACACACTTCTTCATACATTACAAAGAGTCTAAAAAAGGCGCTTTTACTGAAAACATGGGTGGCTCTTGAAAGAGCCTTTTGTTTATACGACTGATAGAAAGTTAACCTCCGAAACCGTACAGAGTGCGGCCCTGACGTTTCAGTGCATACACAACATCCATTGCGGTGACGGTCTTTCTCTTGGCGTGCTCTGTGTATGTAACGGCATCACGGATCACGTTCTCCAAGAACACTTTGAGAACACCTCTTGTCTCCTCGTAGATCAGACCAGAAATACGCTTGACTCCACCACGGCGAGCAAGACGACGGATGGCAGGTTTGGTGATTCCCTGGATGTTATCGCGCAGAACCTTGCGGTGACGCTTAGCGCCTCCTTTCCCAAGTCCTTTGCCACCTTTTCCTCTTCCAGACATGTTTACTAGTGATCTAACTGCACAACCGAAAATACATTCTGGGGCTGTAAGGCAAACTTTAAAGTCGCTCAGACGACCTGATTGAAACAGTCAAGGAGGAGCTGCAACGCAACGTCACACTAGGCGCGTCAGTTCGGATTGTCGTTTGCTTCTTTTGATTATGTAGTTAACACAAATTGGTTGATCATATTTAAATGGTTCTAAATCCTCTGCGAACACAATTTGGTTAAATTGCCTATTAAACTCGTTTCCATAATCAGTTGATTTTGTCCTAACACTTAACTCAAAAATAACCGCCACTTATACTATATTTGGAACAGTAAATTATTGGTTCAGTAACAATATTCTATTGGCAAGGTGTTTTGCTTTCTTATTCTGAATTCTCCCCTAAATGTTGTGTACTTGCCACCCCATATGATTTGACCATATGGTGGATGGCATCCCCAGTGGAGCTAAACGCTAAAACTGTCGTATTTGGAGTATTTGTATTGAAGATTCGTATTGAAGATTTTGAAAAGAATGTGTGGAGGTAACAAGCAAATATTTAGGTTGTGTCTAAGTTGCCTCCTTTTGGGAAAAAATTCAAATACTTTCTGTGATTAGGGATGTCATTATGAACTCTCAAATGAATATAAAAGCCTATGTCTATTTTACTTAAAGTATAATGTCTTTTTTTTATCTTTATTATAAAATGATTTATTTTGAAAACTAAAGCCCTTTTTACACCAAACGTGAAATGAATAAACATCAGTGACGAAAAGGGTAATTTAGCTCGAACGAACATTTCTTGATGTTGAACGTTTGAAGCACTTGTAATTACTGCCCATTTGTCAACAAAGGGCTGGATTAACCCACTTTGAAAAAAAAAAAAAAAACATGTTTCTTTTAAATAAAACTGACTTTTACTAGTTACTTGAACTGGCTCTTTACTTAAAACACTACCCTCAAACACTGCATGGCCTGCAATAAACATTGTCAGTATGTGCTTGATATGATTAAAAAGGATGAAGGCGCTTGTGATGGAACTGATAAAAGTGAACGGTGGCATTTGTCAAAACTAAAATCCAAGAAAAAAAAAAGTGGTTCAGACAAATGCAACAAAAAGCTGTCTGTGACGAATGTAATATTTACGTTAATGAAACTGCACTTCAGAGAACAAGTGGGTGGCTCTTAAAAGAGCCTTTGGGAAATTGACACTAAACTGATTTATTTGCCTTTAGCGGCCTTCTCGGTTTTCTTGGGCAGCAGCACAGCCTGGATGTTGGGCAGCACACCACCCTGAGCGATGGTCACTCCGCCCAGAAGCTTGTTCAGCTCCTCGTCGTTGCGCACCGCCAGCTGCAGGTGACGGGGGATGATACGGGTCTTCTTGTTGTCCCGAGCGGCGTTTCCGGCCAACTCCAGGATCTCAGCGGTCAGATACTCGAGCACGGCGGCCAAGTACACTGGAGCACCAGCACCGACGCGCTGAGCATAATTACCTTTGCGGAGAAGCCTATGGACACGGCCAACGGGAAACTGAAGTCCAGCCCTGGAAGATCGAGTCTTAGCCTTTGCTCTGGCTTTCCCTCCGGTTTTGCCTCTTCCGCTCATGATGTACAGTTGTATTTCAGGAAACTGCGATGAGTTCTCTGGCTTGACAATCAGCTTTTATGTCAACGTGCTTCTCGCTTATTGGTCAGAATCTGTCTCAGTTGAAAACCAATCATTGCGCTTCCCTCCTCTTTTGTGATGTTGCTTTACAATCACTTCAATTCTTTGTCCCGTACAATACCCATGTGTAAAATGTGTCAAAATAAATCAGTTACTAACTAAATCTGTAAACACGTTTATAAAAAAAAACTTTTGTCTGATTTGTACCAATCTTGGCAACAATTGTTTTAGTATATGAAGGCGTACATTGACTATCCAATTTCTTTAAAATTAAACTTACTTGAAAAGCGCTTTACGTCACATTTTTGTTTTAGATTGCCTACTATTTAACTTAGCTAACCAAAACATACGATTTTATGTACAATTGAATTTTGTGTACAATTTTGACAAATAAAAAGTCAAACAAATGTAAAGTCTGAAGTTTTTTTTGTCAAGAACAAAAATGGGGGTTTCTCTTTTGACTTGAGAGTATAAAATGTAAAGATTTTTAAGTAGTATTGAAATCATTATACTAAATGGACACACACACACACAAACACACACATATATATAGCATAACATATATATATATATATATTTAACATAACATACACATGCTCTTTAAGTGATAAAGTGGGTGGCTCTTAAAAGATCGAGCCTTTGGGGTAGCTGAAAAGGATTCAGCGTTTTACTTAGAACTTGAGTTCTTTTTTTTTTTTTTTTTTTTTTTTTTTTTTTTTTTTTTTTTTTTTTTATTGTAGTATTTACAAACATAGTACAATAGAATACATCTCACAACAGTTATGAACATAATAAAAATAAATAAAATAAAATGAAATAAATTCTTTCATTTATACAATGCATAAACATGCCAGGGGTAGAACAAAGAATAGGTAAGATAATGATAATCATATAAAAAAAAAAAAAAACTTATTCAATCAAATGAAATTTACATAATGCCTCATATGTTTTTTTAGCTTTTCTGTTTTTTATGTTACATAATGTAGTACCATATTGTTTAATCTCCTTTATAAAATGAACACAATTTGGCTTAGCTTTGGCCCATTTCTTGACATGGATATGGTATTTTCCAAGTAATATTATTAGTTGTATAAGAAAACATGTTTTGGAGTCAATTCCATCTTGTACAAAAGCAAGTATGACATCATATAACCCAATTTGTATTAGTGTACCAAATGTCCTTGAAATAAAGTTAGAAACATCAATCCAAAATAACCTTGAGTATACACATTGAAAAAAAAGATGAGTAACAGATTCTTTAATAATTCCACAAAAATCGCAAAAGTTTTCTCTATCAACTCCAAATCGTTCAAATAATTCTTTTACAGGATAAATTCGGTGTAAAATTTTAAATGATACCTGTCTTACTTTATTACTTATAAAGAACTTATTTGTAAGTAACCATACTTTTTTCCACTCAATACTTCCAAATTTTGATGACCAGAAGACTGTTGAAGATGGTATTTGATTCTTTTTTAATACATTTCTAATATATTTATTACTACATTTATCTTTAAGAATGTTAATATCACCAATATATAATACATCATCACTTGTCTTTGGCTGTTGGTCCACATTGTATATTGAATTACGTAACAGTGATACAACTTTATTTGGTATTGCATCAAAAATAACAGCATAGTCTTTTGGTTTTACAGGAACTTTAAATTTTTTAAGGAATTCCGAGTATGAATAAAGCAATCCATGTTCGTCAAGTAATTGACTGACTGTACATATTCCATTGTCATACCATGATTGAATAAATATAGATTTCCTTTTGTACAAGATATCTTTATTATTCCACAGAAAATACCGATGAGGTGTAAAATTATGTTTATAGACCAACTGCCAAGCCAACAATGCCTGCTTATGAAAACTTGCCAATTTAATAGGGATTTTATCAATAGAGAAATTACATTTTAAAAGAAAATTTATGCCACCCAAAGAGTTAAATATAAAATTTGGAAAGATATGCCACAAAGTTTCTTTATTTTTAATGTATTCAATTATCCATTTTATCTTAAATACCTCATTGAGATCTGTAAAATTTAACACTTCAAGGCCTCCAAAGTCTTTGCTGTTATTTAAAATATCTTTTTTTAAATAGTGAGCCTTTTTACGCCAAATAAAATCATAAAGAATTTTATCCAATTCCTTAACAACATTTTTCGAAGTTTCCATTGACAATAATATATATACAGACCTTGAAATTCCTTCTGCTTTAGACAGCAACACACGACCATATAAGGACAGATCTCTCATTAACCACATATTATATCTGTTTTTGATCTTTTCAATGGTGGGCTTAAAATTTAATTCATTTCTTTGTTTCAAATCCTTGCTTATTATTACACCGAGGTATGTAACAGTGTCTTTTATTGGAATACCACTAACTTCTTTTAAGGGACAGTCTTTAAGAGCAAATAAAATAGATTTACTCTTATTCAAGAACTTGAGTTCTTGGTGACGGCCTTTGTGTATGATTAGATACCGCATTTGTTTGGATTTTATAGTCCCGCCCATCGCCCCTCCAACAATAGATAGCATTTTTTCCCCGCTCAAATACTTTTGTCTCCATCATCAGAACAAGATTAAAAAAACAAACGCAACACCACACGCTTCAAAGGGTCAACATGGATATTTAATGCCAGTTTCCTTTTAATAATTTAGGACATTAATGATTTTTGTCTTAAACACGCATGAGGTAGTTAAACGTGCCCAGTCCATGTATGTAGGCCGTTTGTGTGTGTGTGTGTGTGTGTGCGTGCGTGCGTGCGTGCGTGCGTGCGTGCGTGCGTGATTTATAACTTATTGTTACATTTAAGTCCCTTTTTCTAGGGGTACGGGGACAAAGGTAACAAAAAAACCCAAGATAAACCCAAAATAAATCACCACTTGTCTCTCTACACAGCTTACTTTTCACAAAGTTACACGTCACTCTTATTCACACTATAATCTCACAAGATTCACAAACTCACAGTTCTAAATATCCAGCAAAATCTCTATCACACTATAATTGCTGGGTTAGGGAAAACAGGGACTCTCCCCGTGCTTTGCCGCTCTGCCTCTTTATAAAGCCTGGAAGCTCAATCAACAGCAACCGATCCGATTTGCTCTGATTGAAAACAGGTGCGGCTGGTTTGGAACGCTGCTCAATGAGAGAGAGAGAGAGGCAGAGAGACTGAGAGAGAGAGAGAGCGATTAATAAAACAAAAGGGGGGAGCAATAAGCTGCCACTCACACCAACAACTTATCACCTAAATACATCATAGGATGTAACACATCACCAACAACTTATTACCTAAATACATCATAGGATGTAACACATCTAAATTACAGAACTAAATATTTTTAATAAGATAATAAATAATCAAACTGTATCACAGATCCAAAGTCCAGAATCAATAAATAAATATTTATATATTATTTATTATGTGTGTTTGTGGGTGTTATAATATTAAAAAATACAGAAAACGCTCTGGGAAGGTTTTCTGTAAGTAATAAAAATAACCATGGAAAATAACCTGCATGGAACGTTCTGGGAAGGTTATATTTTGGTAACTAAAAATAACAATACAGAGTGTTCCCAGGACGTTCTTGGTTTCCAAAAAAAAAAAAGCCAAACGGAAGCCATATGGGAACGTTAGGGATGGTTATATGTTTGAAAGTAACTTACTGAGTATTTAAATTGGACAGACTTGATGGACTGTTTTTATTCTAATCTTTCCTATTACAACTAATGATGTATATTAATGAGATGTTTAAATGTAATTCACTAAAATGTACTTTAAACGATTAAGAAAACAGATATAAACGCTCAAGTACAATTGACCAGATTTCGAATTATTGCAGCCAGATGTCATATTCCAATATGCAACATACATTGTAAATTATGTTACTACTAAGATGAACTCCTCAGCAAGTGACTTTGTTTGTCATGTCAACGAATGACTATAATTTTATGGATTTTAAATAAAATATCCGTTAATGTAAATTAATTGCTTCTGTTATTCTGCTCTGTAGTGAATTTCCAACATCCATTTGTCTGTGACAGTTCTACATTTCTTTTCATTCTACATCTGAAATCATTCTGTTACCTTTTTTAAGATAATGCAGAAACCATAATAATTAACCTTGAGCTGTATGCAAAAACAGGATTTTTTTGTATTATGGCGGAAAAGTCTAACTATGAAGCAATGGAGGATATCACTGGGAGTTTAATATTCAAATTTAGAAGCCTGCGATTGGCGGGAGGTTTATCAAGCCGCCCAATTCTGACCAAAGAGATCTTCATACGTTGAACAAAAGCACCCAATAGAAAGACAATACAGTCCTCCGGCTTGACACGAGCTTTCTATAAAAACCCAGAACAGCGCGTAAACTTTATTCAGTTATTCTCTGAAGTATTCAAAATGCCTGAACCAGCGAAGCCAGCGCCCAAGAAGGGCTCCAAGAAAGCGGTAACCAAGACCGCTGGTAAAGGAGGAAAGAAGCGCAAGAGGACCAGGAAGGAGAGCTATGCTATCTATGTTTACAAGGTATTGAAGCAGGTTCATCCTGATACCGGAATTTCCTCAAAGGCGATGGGCATCATGAACTCGTTCGTCAACGACATCTTCGAGCGCATCGCCGGTGAGGCGTCTCGTCTCGCTCACTACAACAAGCGCTCCACCATCTCATCTAGGGAGATCCAGACCGCCGTGCGTCTGTTGCTGCCCGGAGAGCTGGCCAAACACGCCGTGTCCGAGGGCACAAAGGCCGTCACAAAGTACACCAGCTCCAAGTAAAACGCTGAATCATTTTCAGCCACCCCAAAGGCTCTTTTAAGAGCCACCCATACTATCTGTTAAAGAGCATTCTGCGTCTTGATATATATCAACAGTGTTAATGACGTTTGTGTAAAAGGTGAAGTAGCATGTTTAAAGCAGGATTGTTTTGTGACTTCTACAGTGCAACAATCACAGCAGGATAAAAATGATTAAAAGCAGACTTGACTTATGCAAATGTAGTATCATTACACAATATTTTAATCATTTTGTACAAATTGTAATGTGAACCAAGTATGTTAATTAAGTTAATAAATCAGATTTATAATTAAATTTGAGGCTTATGATTGTGTTTGGGTCTCAACCTCCTACAATCCCCTTTCATGATCTACTTTACATCAGGCATGATTATTTACCATAATTTGACAAAAATATGAACTTAAGTTAGATTTGACCTTTAAACGTTAATTCAGGTGTTCAACCATGACTAAATATTCAAATAAAAGTTGAGAATTTTCCTTTATTTAAAATGCTGGTTCGTATCAAATAATAGTTGAGCTATAATGATAGCTCTTAACTGTTTAACTCTTGATTATTTGAAGTTTTTATTCAGCCTCTGGTTTTATGTTGTGGTGCATGTATTCTGTATATTAATATTCTATTTAATATTCCAGTATAAATATCAGGATTGCATTTACTAGTTTTACTTAATTTGAACCAGCTCATTGTAAATTCTTGATGTACTAAATATTTTGAGGATGTTTTGCCAAGGATTCTGTCAACATGATTCCAAGTTTGAACAAAGAGAGGGGAGTGGCTTAGAATTTGGAGGGAAGTGTAGTGATTGGTTTAAAGTCACAGATTTTGGCCAATAGACAGAGAGCACGCTCCTTTAAATATGAGCTGTTCCCCTAGTGTTTGTATTATTGTTTCTAGTGTCGAGTACTTGACTACTGCAACATGAGTGGAAGAGGCAAAACCGGTGGTAAGGCCAGAGCAAAGGCTAAGTCGCGGTCATCCAGGGCTGGACTCCAGTTCCCCGTCGGCCGTGTTCACAGACTGCTCCGCAAGGGTAACTATGCTCAGCGCGTCGGTGCCGGTGCTCCAGTGTACTTGGCCGCCGTGCTCGAGTATCTGACCGCTGAGATCCTGGAGTTGGCTGGAAACGCCGCTCGGGACAACAAGAAGACCCGTATCATCCCCCGTCACCTGCAGCTGGCGGTGCGCAACGACGAGGAGCTGAACAAGCTTCTGGGCGGAGTGACCATCGCTCAGGGTGGTGTGCTGCCCAACATCCAGGCCGTGCTGCTGCCCAAGAAGACCGAAAAGGCCGCCAAGGGAAAATAAACCTTTGCAATTCGATTAATTACAACAAAAAGGCTCTTTTAAGAGCCACCCACTTAATCTTTAAGAGAGCGAAATGATTTTAGTCAAAGCAACAGTGCCAACAAATCACTTCCTAGTAGTACACGATGTTAAAGACGAGGTCTTTAAAGTTTTATACAACTACATCTAACAATTAGTAAAGCAGAATAAAGCTGTAACTCCAAGTAAACTTCCCTGACAAGTTTGCCCAAATACAATTTCAATTTTATTGTTTGCCAAATGTTAATGTTTTTTTAACCGTTGCAATAAATATATCAACGTCACTTTTGTGATTTTTTTTTTATTGCTAGATCCATAAAGAGAATCACTCTTGTTTATTTTTAATCTTACATTAAGAAAACGTGCATGTTTTTCTGCCTTTATACTTTTCTTTCTTTTCACAACAATAAACAGAATGTCAATCAAAATCTGGAGCGGGATTTTTTTTTTTTTTAGAAAACAAATCATCTAGAGCTGCTACAGAGCAGCCAATTAAATTACTCTAATGACGCCCCGCCCAGTAAACGTAACGCTTCAGCACTGGTTAAATAGCTGCATTTTTCAGTTACACCATATTCGACAAAATGGCAAGAACCAAGCAGACCGCCCGTAAATCCACTGGAGGCAAAGCCCCAAGGAAGCAGCTGGCTACTAAAGCTGCCCGTAAGAGCGCTCCGGCCACCGGCGGCGTCAAAAAGCCTCACCGCTACAGGCCCGGCACCGTGGCTCTACGTGAGATCCGCCGCTACCAGAAGTCTACTGAGCTGCTGATCCGCAAACTCCCCTTCCAGCGTCTGGTCAGAGAAATCGCTCAGGACTTCAAGACAGATCTGCGCTTTCAGAGCTCTGCTGTCATGGCCTTGCAGGAGGCCAGCGAGGCTTATCTGGTTGGTCTGTTCGAGGACACCAACCTGTGCGCCATCCACGCCAAGAGGGTCACCATCATGCCCAAGGACATCCAGCTGGCCCGCCGCATCCGCGGAGAGCGCGCTTAACTTAACCGTTAACCTGATTTAAACCCAAAGGCTCTTTTAAGAGCCACTTCAGTACATCAGAAAAGTGAAATTTCCATCTGTTTAGGTTTTAATCTACTAGCCAGGCTTCTTTCTTGTTTTTACAGTCTTTTTTAGTCTCAAGATATTACTTCAATTTTTTTTGTAGCTGTTGTACCAACTTTGAATTTCACAGCAAATTACATTGAACAGGTCTAAGTAAGCAGGATATTATACGTTATTTCATTTTTTTTACTTTAGTAGAGAAAATCCCATGCTGTCAACACCAACCATTATATTTAGTTTGACTGTTCCTGTAGAAGTTATCGATGCTCCAAAAATGCTCACTGCTATAATACATCGATGTAAAATATCGACATTTATTCCTTAAGTCAAAAGTCTCTCTAAATAAGCAGCAAAATACTTAACCAACAGACATTTGTCTTAGCCAATCTTACTGCATGCATTACTTTTTCACATTTGATGATCTGAGCTGGCGATGCAGTGGTGCAATAGGTGCTCTGTTAAAATAGTTGGGGTAATAATACCCCAACATATAACTCAATTATAGGTTATTATAGCACCTTCCCAACTATTTTAACCCATATGTGACCCAGTTAATTTTATGAAATGTTATTTTTTTCCATTCTGAATCAGGATCATAAACAGTAAAGTAGAATAATTTACTTTAAGTGAAACTTAACTTAACACGTTTAACACAAAAAAGCTCTTGAAAATGGGTGGCTCTTAAGAGTAAATATATGGTAAATATAATTCACATTACAATTTGTACAAAATGATTAAAATATTGCATAATGAAATACTACATTTGCATAAGTTAAGTCTGCTTTTAATTATTTTTTTATCCTGCTGTGATTGTTGCACTGTAGAATAGTCACAAAACAATCCTGCTTTAATTAAACATAGCTACTTCACCTTTCAGATAAACGTCATTAACAAGGTTACTTGAAAAAATATATATCAAGACGCAGAATGCTCTTTAACAGATAGTATGGGTGGCTCTTAAAAGAGCCTTTGGGGTAGCTGAATGAAATTCAACGCTTTACTTGGAGCTGGTGTACTTGGTGACGGCCTTTGTGCCCTCGGACACGGCGTGTTTGGCCAGCTCTCCAGGCAGCAACAGACGCACGGCGGTCTGGATCTCCCTAGATGAGATAGTGGAGCGCTTGTTGTAGTGAGCCAGACGAGACGCCTCACCGGCGATGCGCTCGAAGATGTCGTTGACGAACGAGTTCATGATGCCCATCGCCTTGGAGGAGATTCCAGTGTCGGGGTGGACCTGCTTCAGCACTTTGTAGACGTAGATGGCGTAGCTCTCCTTCCTGGTCCTCTTGCGTTTCTTTCCTCCTTTGCCGGCGGTCTTGGTCACGGCTTTCTTGGAGCCCTTCTTGGGCGCGGCCTTGGCTGGCTCAGGCATGGTTAAGATATCAGAGTTTGAAACCGAATAAAGATTATGCGATGTACTGGGCATTTATAGAAAGCTTGTGTCAACCTGGAGGATCTCATTGGTCAGGATTGGGCGCCAAGATAAACTTCCACCAATCGCAGACTAGTAAGTTTGAATAATTTCCGCCCAACCCCCAGTAATTTTCCATACTGCTTCTTTGTCTGACTTTCCCGCCGTAATTCAAAAAGCTTTATTTCTTATACAGCTCTTGGTAAATGATTATGATATTTGTACCATCTTACAATCGGTAATTAAATTATATAAAACGATTTAGAATGTAGAATGACCAGAAATTTAGAACTATCTCAAACAAAAGTGTTTACCAACGTTACCAATTCATTAACATAAAGAGCAGAATAGGTATGATACAGCAACTGATCCATAAAAATATTATTCGTCAGCATTTGGGATATTAAAGTTGTTTGCCAAGGTGTTAATTAAAACCTAACTTGTACTGTATTTTGGTTTGTGACATTTTGGTTTGTGGCTGTAAGAAGTTGTAATCTGGTGAATCTGCATATATATATATATATTTATAAATAATTACATATTACATTAAGGAGGTAATTTCTTCTTAATTGGAGTACTTTAATACCCGCTTAGCAAATATATTATACTATTTTTCAGGTTTAACATAACTGCAGTTATCAGTACAAAAAAATAGTTAAAAACTAACGTATTTAGAGCCTAAAAGACAAGTTAAGTTTCATCAAAACCAATGCATAAACTCGAAAAGTTTAAAACTGGCTCTTTGTGAAAGTGTGGGTGGCTCTTAAAAGAGCCGTTGGGTTTTTGAATGATTAACAAATGTTTAACCGCCGAAGCCGTACAGAGTGCGTCCCTGTCTCTTCAGAGCGTAGACAACATCCATTGCGGTCACGGTCTTTCTCTTGGCGTGCTCGGTGTAAGTAACGGCATCACGGATCACGTTTTCCAGAAACACCTTCAACACACCGCGAGTCTCCTCGTAGATCAGACCGGAGATACGCTTCACACCACCACGGCGAGCAAGACGACGGATGGCAGGCTTAGTGATTCCCTGGATGTTATCACGGAGAACTTTGCGGTGACGCTTAGCGCCTCCTTTCCCGAGTCCTTTACCGCCTTTGCCCCTTCCAGACATGATTCTATCAGTGACCGAATTAACAAGTTGGCAACCAGATTGACGAATGTTATTTTACAATCGCTCACAGGACCTAGTTGAAACACTAGAAGGCGGATCTATGCGAGTTTAAATCACGTCAAGCGCTACTATTATCTGACCCCGCCCCTAAATCCAACCGTCTCTTGAAGAGAGACAGAATCTGTTCGTACAGAAGCACCAGTTTACATTGACCATTTCATAAATATCAGCATCAATGCAGGTGAATAATTTGCTAATGTTTTAAAAAAAACCTTCTGTCCCCATATTTCAAACAGGGAAACATTGCACATTTCATTGCATAGTTTTATAGTTAGAAATGTAGATTCTAATATTTTAAACATTTTATATTTGTTTTAATTTTCAATAGCTATAACTTCCATTTCTGTTTTTTTTTTTTTTGTCTTATATTCCACAATTTAGATTCCTAATTATACTGTTTTATTTTTACGGTCACAGAATAAACATTTCACTGCATATGGAGTGAATGACTTTATGTGACAATTATTATTATTTTTATTTCTTTAATAGGTGGTTAATTACACTGAGAACTCCTGATAAAATAAGTAATTTAGCCGAAGAAAACTGCGTGAAGAACAATAAAATAAAATTCAATATTTGCATAGTGTACCTGTTTCAAATGTGAACCCTTTCATACGCTCTTTATACAAATATAGTTGAGCTTTTCAGCTGATTGGCTTCAGAATTATTTGTCGTGTCTTCCATAAGTGATATAAAACTAGTTTCAAAGGGGTTAAAAGTTTAACTGATTTGTATGAAATATATTTACCTTATTTCGTTTTTAATCATTCTGTATGGATGTTTACCTCAACATTAAAATAGATTAGTTGTTACTTTTTCCTTATGAAGGAGTTGAATAGATTATTTGTTTGGTAAACATTTTACTCTATCTGGCATAAATCTTATACAGAGCTGATATGTATTTACGTGTGATGTTGATATATGAACCAAACATTATAGAGGCTCAGTATAATCAGATATAATATAATAATGCTATAACAGCTCTTCATTGAAGATTTATTGATTCACAGACATTTGATGTGACTTGAACTGTGGTCACTAGATGTGAAACTGTTACTGTTAAAGAATAATTATTTACAGTTCTTCATAACAGAGACACTTTTTCTGTTCAATATCCAACATAGTTTGTTCTTTTTGCGTAAAAAAGGCAGAATTTTACCTTTCCTGACCACAAACATTTCAGTCAGGTAATCACTAAAGATATTGTTAAATTGTACGCAGACAAATGTGGAGTTTCTAGTCAGGTTAAAACGCCATGTGTGATTTAGTTAATGCCCTATCTTAATTTGTAATTGCTGTTTTTTTTTTGTTTTTGTTTGTTTTTTTTTTAGATGTGGAGCAGCCTGTGAACCTTGTGCAAGGTTTGAAACTGGCTTTTTAGTATAATAACCATTGTCTTTGGTAAATGATAAATTGATCCAACTGTATTGTATGAGAAACCTAATAAATAATAATAATAAAATTGCGGTTTAACCAATTTTACGGTTGTTCATTTTTCTAAACTATATTTTGGAATTGTTCATTTCTAGCTCTTCTTTAGATACAATTGATCATACCACTTGTAAAAATTTCAACCCTCCTACTTTCAAATTGGACTTTTATGATACATTTGTGTGGCTCTTAAAAGAGCCTTTGGATTAAAATAAAACGGACAGAAGTTAAGCGCGCTCTCCGCGGATGCGGCGGGCCAGCTGGATGTCTTTGGGCATGATGGTGACTCTCTTGGCGTGGATGGCGCACAGGTTAGTGTCCTCAAAAAGACCTACCAGATAAGCCTCGCTGGCCTCCTGCAGGGCCATGACAGCGGAGCTCTGGAAACGCAGATCGGTCTTGAAGTCCTGAGCGATTTCACGAACCAGGCGCTGGAAGGGCAGTTTGCGGATCAGCAGCTCAGTGGACTTCTGGTAGCGGCGGATCTCACGCAGAGCCACGGTGCCGGGCCTGTAGCGATGAGGCTTCTTGACGCCACCGGTGGCGGGAGCGCTCTTGCGGGCAGCTTTAGTAGCAAGTTGTTTCCTCGGGGCTTTACCCCCAGTGGATTTACGGGCGGTCTGCTTGGTTCTTGCCATTTTATCAGAGTTCTCTCGCTTACTTTGCAAAAGTAAAAATTAAGATAACGCTCAGCTGCTATTTATGTTCTGCATTACTCTCTCTCCGTGGGCGGAGCGTTAGTAAAGTCATTTGATTGGATAAGGCGAGAGTACTTTCTAGCTAGATATGACCAATGACTGCAAGTTCCTGGATTTTGAATCAGAAACTGCGCAGCCCGCGTTTTTATCTCTTGGATTTCACAACGAGCTCGTTCAAAAAGCTGGCTGAGCTATAAGAAATCAGTTCATATAAGTATAGGTTTTTACTGAAATGTAATATCTGGTTGCTTAAAACTATAACTTGTGTTAGACATCTGTGAACTAATATGGTGTTAATATGCTGAATGTTGACCTTCGAGTAAATAGGAAATGTTTGTCTCTTCCCTGTAGTGATTGGTAATATAACTGTAAATGTGAATCATATATTCTTATATAGGTAACCTTCAAATAGTCATTTCAATAACTAGTGAAACTAATTTAGAAGTTAAAATAAGCATCTGGAACATTTTCAGTATAAACATCATTATTTTAACCCTTGTATGCAGTTGGGGATGTTGGCCACGACTTTGTTTCAGCAAACTGAAGGATTTTTGATGTCAACTTAAATATTTTGGGGATAAGTTTGGAAAAAAAAAAAAAAAAACACTACATTTTTGGCAACTTGCCTATGCTTTCATTTTGTAAGTGACTGGTTTTGCCTCATTGACTTCAATCACAATTTTGATTAAAAAGCCATGATATTAAATAACATTCACTCTTTTGAAGAGAAAGTGGGTGGCTCTGAAAAGAGCCTTTGTTTCGAGTCAAATTGCAGCAGTTTATTTGCCTTTGGCGGCCTTCTCCGTCTTTTTGGGCAGCAGCACAGCCTGGATGTTGGGCAGCACACCACCCTGAGCGATGGTCACTCCGCCCAGAAGCTTGTTCAGCTCCTCGTCATTGCGCACCGCCAGCTGCAGGTGACGGGGGATGATACGGGTCTTTTTGTTGTCCCTAGCAGCGTTTCCAGCCAACTCCAGAATCTCAGCTGTCAGATACTCGAGCACAGCGGCCAAGTACACTGGGGCACCGGCACCAACGCGCTCGGCGTAGTTGCCCTTGCGGAGCAACCTGTGGACACGACCAACTGGGAACTGAAGACCAGCTCTCGATGAGCGAGTCTTAGCCTTTGCTCTGGCCTTGCCTCCGGTTTTGCCTCGTCCGCTCATGTTGATCACTGCTTCCTTCTTATCTTTAGCAAAGAGAAGAATGAATGACTTTCGACTGAGACAGACAGCATTTAATAGAGCGTGCTTGCCTTCTATTGGTCAGAGCCTGTGAAGCTTTTAAACCAATCACTGGACCTCCCTCCAAATTCCAAACCCCTCCCCTCTCTCTGCAAGTGTTTACCTTTGAGCCTGTCTTTTCAAATAATATTAGTTATGATAAGTTTAACCAAAGATCAAATATGTAGTCAACACTGTCTTTTCACGCACCAGTCAGAGTTGATTGGGCATTTTAACTTTTTTTAATAGTGTTTTTTTTTGTTATTTATCTGATGTAAACGTCCAAAATTCCCATGTACTTTAACCAACTGTATGTAGATTTTAGTTACATTAGCTATATCCATTCAAGCAGCTCGTACACAATATTTATGTTTCCCCATTTTTCCAAACAAGAATGTTTCGATTATTTTGCCTAATTGTATAAATTTTATTCTATAAAATAGTTTATTTGCCTCTTGATTATTAGTAAAGTTTTAAAAAAGACAAAGACCCAAAATACCCACAGAAAAACTTGTTTAGTCGTAAAACATTTTCGAAATCTTATAACACTATACTATACTCCATATCATAAATATATTTCGGGTATTATTTTGAATTCTAAGAAAAGGTCACTCATGACAATACCAAGATAAACTGAAGGTGAGTGTTATGGAAATGCTGCTCTTTTGTTTTAAGTGGGTGGCTCTTAAAAGAGCCTTTTTGTTCAATTGGGAAAGAGAAATATCTACTTCTTCTTGGGAGTGGCCTTCTTAGGCTTGGCCGCCTTTGGCTTCACCGTTTTGGGCTTTGCAACTTTCGCCTTTTTGGGGCTCTTAGTTGCTTTCTTGGCAGCCGCTGGTTTCTTCACCTTCTTGGGGCTTTTTGTTGCTTTCTTGGCAGCTGCAGGCTTCTTGGCTTTCTTAGGGCTCTTTGTCGCCTTCTTCGCGGCGGCCGGTTTCTTCACCTTCTTCGGCGACTTCTTAGCGGCCGGTTTCTTGGCCTTTGCTGCAGTTTTCTTGGCCGCTGGCTTCTTCTTGGGCTCGGCTTGCTTCTTGTTCAGCTTGAAGGAACCAGAGGCGCCTGTGCCTTTAGTCTGAACCAGAGTGCCGTTGAGCACTAAAGCCTTGACGGCGATTTTAACGCGGGAATTGTTCTTCTCCACATCGTAGCCGCCGGCAGAGAGAGCTTTCTTTAGGGCTGCGAGGGAGACTCCTTGTCGCTCCTTAGAAGCGGTCACAGTTTTGACGATGAGATCGCGGACATTTGGGCCCGTTTTCTTGGGTTTGGACGCCGCTTTCTTCTTAGGAGCTTTAGCAGGCGGGGCAGCTGGAGCAGTTTCAGCCATGTTTCTCTGAGAAAATGCAGTCAATCGTTAACGACAGTCTGAGATCAATGGAGTGGCGCTGCTGAGCGGCTGTGAACTTAACTACCACATGAGAACCGTGTAGACTCAACACTTTGATGCACAGCGTTTTGGCGCCTCAACTTTGACTATCAAGTTTAGCTGTACATTTAGCTTATTAAAAATTTGATTGTATTGCTTTTGTTGTGATGACTTATTTATGAACGGCATAGTTTATAACTAGACATTGCTCCTCCATTGAATAATTTGCTTGTACTTGTGTATACCTCTTGTTCTTAAAGCTTATTAGTTGCTTATTCTTGTCTAAATTCATACAACAGCTTTCTACAGATTTGTTTTTAAATGTTATTAATAGGTGAAACTCCAACTTTATGTAAGCTAAAATTTACGCATTTTTTGTGATTTTGCTTTGATTTGTGAAAATGTTTGCATAAAAATGTGGCAAATGGTGAAGCAGCATCTCCAACTACAAATTAAACAGGCCATCTAAAAATTAGATAAAAACGTATCCACAGGTTTATTTGTAATAGCATATCAAATATAATTAGTACAAGACGTTGTCGATACAAGTTGTTAACGTTTTGAACACATTGACCCGCTATTTTGATATGAGAGTACATATCAGTTTTTAAAACTAAACATTATTAATTTTCCCCCTTTTGAAACTTGTATTTGTAATAAATTACTACAATGATTTTTGTCAACTAGACTTGTGGAGAAATTATTGGGGCCAAAAGAAAATATTTTCAACGATATTACTACGTAATTTAGCTGATATCCAAGTAGGTTTTGCATTGAAAACCTTCTAGAGTACACTAATGTATAAACACAAAATGAGCCTTTTATGAAAGTGTGGGTGGCTCTTAAAAGAGCCGTTGGGTTTTCTAAACAGAGCACAGGCGTTTAACCTCCAAAGCCGTACAGAGTACGTCCCTGTCTCTTCAGCGCGTACACAACATCCATGGCGGTCACGGTCTTTCTCTTGGCGTGCTCGGTGTATGTAACAGCATCACGGATAACATTCTCCAGAAACACCTTCAACACTCCACGAGTCTCCTCGTAGATCAGGCCAGAGATACGCTTCACACCGCCACGGCGAGCGAGACGACGGATGGCGGGTTTGGTGATTCCCTGGATGTTGTCACGTAGAACTTTACGGTGACGCTTAGCGCCTCCTTTCCCTAGTCCTTTACCGCCTTTGCCTCTTCCAGACATGTCTTAATTTGAGGATGATTGAACAAGTAAAAGACGAGGTTTGCGCGTGACATATTACAATCGCTTACAGGACCTAGTTGAAACACTAAAGGCGGAGCTATTTGACCCCGCCCCGCCCCTACATCCAATATTACTGTAACATGACCACAGTAAATTTATTAAGACTAAGTTCATTCTAATTCAAAAGAAATTCTGATTATAAATAAAACACAATTAACGACAAAAAGATTTCCTTTCCAGATTCTTTGAAATTCAGACTACTAGAATAACATATTGAATGTTTAAGTCCTATATTTATAACCTGCTTAATCTACCTGAAGTCTTTAAATTGAACTTTGAAATTAATTATCAAGCAAAAAAAAAAAGGGTTGGGGAAAAAAAGTTAGGCAATTGAAAAATAATTCTGATCTCACCGGTGGGTTAAAATGCTGCCTTTTAACTCCTTATTATACAATAAGCGCCGATGTGACAACTAATACAGTAGCAGTTTCATTAAAATATTCGGCGTGCATCATTTAGATGTAGTAATATTCACGTTAGAAATCATAGCATAGCAGATCATCGTGTATACATTATATAGAGCTCAGCAAAAACGCAGTCCTCAGAAATCTCTTTAATTTAGATATTCTAGTCCGAGTATCTGAAGACAGAAGTTACCTCACAAAAATAAGTCTAAATTTGTTAAGGAAAAAAAGTCAGATAAAAAAAGTGTTCTATTTTTTGTAGCTTTGTATTTATTCTAATATGTGGCTTGTATTTATAATCCAGCAGCAATATGTGGTTCAATTTATAAACAACTACTCTTTCAAAGAAAAAGTGGGTGGCTCTGAAAAGAGCCTTTGGGTTTACAAGTAAAAATCAAACTGCAGTTGTTTATTTGCCTTTGGCGGCCTTCTCAGTCTTCTTGGGCAGCAGCACGGCCTGGATGTTGGGCAGCACACCACCCTGAGCGATGGTCACTCCGCCCAGAAGCTTGTTCAGCTCCTCGTCGTTGCGCACCGCCAGCTGCAGGTGACGGGGGATGATACGGGTCTTCTTGTTGTCCCGAGCGGCGTTTCCAGCCAACTCCAGGATCTCAGCGGTCAGATATTCGAGCACAGCAGCCAAGTACACTGGAGCACCGGCACCAACGCGCTGAGCATAATTACCCTTGCGGAGGAGCCTGTGAACACGGCCAACGGGAAACTGAAGCCCTGCTCTAGAGGAGCGAGACTTAGCCTTAGCTCTAGCCTTTCCACCGGTTTTGCCTCTTCCGCTCATCTTGTTGATGTAGCTTTCTCAGCTGATAAGGAATGCGCCTAACAGCTCATATTTAAAGGAGCGTGGACGCCGTCTATTGGCCAGAGTCTGTGTAACTTTTAAACCAATCACTGCACTTGCCTCCAAATTTCAAGCCACAGTAGTCACTTACCTCGTTCTCTTTGTTCCATTGTCATTGAAAGAATCCTTGGCAAAGCATACTGAAATTGTTTACGATATCAGGAATTTACAATAAATTAATCCAAATTCAGGAAAACTAATGATTTAACTTATGAGATATATTAAAAGTCTTTTCACATGAAACAGAAAATACACATTTTTTTATGTAAAGAAAATATGCACCTCTGAATATTTTCACAATTCGCCACAAAACCAGATTCAGAATATCTGCGTTTTCTAATAAAATCATGTGTTCAACAGTAACGAAAGGAGGCATCAATTTTACCTTGGATAGAACCAGCATTTTGCGTAATGGAAATTTTTCAAGATTTATTGGATCGTTTTGTTATGGCTGAACACGAGTGAAGGCTTAAAGTAAAATGTAAATGGAGTAATTCTTTCAATATGCAGAATACATAGGCACATATTTTGATATATTATCACGCCAAATGAAAAAAAAAAAAAAAACGAAAACGTTGAAATTTGAGATTCAAGACATTAATCGAATTACCTACACAAGCTTAAATATACATTTAACGTTCAACAAGCCAGCTGTGCACTTTCAGTACTTTTTAAATCTCCATTCATTTCAGTTAGTTAGTTGTATGCATGTCCGGTGAAGATCAATCATGCACTAGTATATACTAATGACTACAAACACTAATCTTATTATAAATACCAGTCAACTTAAACAAAAAGCTCTTTAAATGACAGTATGGGTGGCTCTTAAAAGAGCCTTTGGGGTAGCTGAATGAAATTCAACGCTTTACTTGGAGCTGGTGTACTTGGTGACGGCCTTTGTACCCTCAGACACGGCGTGTTTAGCCAGCTCTCCGGGCAGCAGCAGGCGCACAGCGGTCTGGATCTCTCTGGAAGTGATGGTGGAGCGCTTGTTGTAGTGAGCGAGACAAGACGCCTCACCGGCGATGCGCTCGAAGATGTCGTTGACGAACGAGTTCATGATGCCCATCGCCTTTGAGGAGATTCCGGTGTCGGGATGGACCTGCTTCAACACCTTGTAGACGTAGATAGCATAGCTCTCCTTCCTGGTCCTCTTGCGCTTCTTTCCTCCCTTACCGGCGGTCTTTGTGACTGCTTTCTTGGAGCCCTTCTTGGGCGCTGTCTTTGCTGGCTCAGGCATAGTGATGATTTCAGAATGTGAAACCCAATGGTGCTCTATCGCTGTGCTGGGTATTTATTGACAGCTCTTGCCAAGCCGGAGGACTGTATTGTCCATCTATTGGGCGCTTTAGCTCGATGAATGAAAATCTCATTGGTCAGAAGAAGGCGGATAAATAAATTTTCCGCCAATCGCAGGCTCGCAAGTTGGAATAATTTACTCCCATCCCCCTGTTGACCTTGTTACCAGCTTTTTTGTCTGACTTTCCCGCCATAATGTCAAATGTTTAAAAGTATTCTTCACTAAAATGTGATTCCACCATTTTAGCTTCAGTTACTTTAGCATTTTCTTTTGCATTTTAACATCTACCCAAAGCAAAAGCTTGCTTTTATCATAGGAATCTAGGTCAATTGTTATGGTTGCTAAACCATCCCTATAATTAATATGACAGTGTGTAGGTATCTCAGACAAAGGTGTTTTAAATTCACTAAAATACAGAGCAGCACACCTAACATGATTTGTAGAAATCTTTTACATTGCAGGCTTATTGATATTGATTAGAAGCCCATATAAAATCATGACCAAATTAAGTTAATACTAGCAGTCAAGACATTAAAAGGAAAAAGAGCAATAGAGAGAAAATAGCGTGGACAATCATTTAACAATATTTTGTTTTTCCATTAAGATTATGTGGGAAAAAGATTGTTAACCATTGATAATTAAATGTTATGTTATTAAAATGTTCAATGCAAACTGCAAACATTAAACATTGGTCTATTTAAACATTATTTAAAGCCTAATTTATCCTTGTACATGCAAAAGAAAATGTGGGGTTAGGGGGTTGCTTTTAATTTACCTCTCCAATCTATAGATAACCAAAAATAAAATGGAACATTTTTATTTGCTAAGTTCTTTTTAATTGTAACTAAAATTATGTATGCATAATTATGTAACACTCACATACATACACATATACACACACACACATATATATATATATATATATATATATATATATATATATATATATATATATATTGTAATGGAAATTAATTTTTAGATAAACATGTGTAGTGGAAACTTACAGCAGAAACAGCGGAGCACCTGATGCACCTACAGAATGGGCCTTATTAGGATTTGACCTTGCAAGCAATACAAACTAGATAGAACAGTGAACACTTTGCTTCAGTGTCTCATTCTGTAGAAACTGTTGCTGCTGCATGACTGTGACCTTCTTTGCAAAGAATAAAACTTTGAAAAGACATTCAGAGTAAGACTTTGTTTCTTGACCACAGAGAGCGTCTCTATACAGAAAATGGCCACTACAATATATATATATACATATATAGACACGAGTGTAGATGCATCTCTAACAAATCATTGTAATTGGAGGATTTCATAGGTTGCTATTGGTGTTAAAAACTTCTTTTTGTGAAAACGTGGGTGGCTCTTATAAGAGCCGTTGTTTTTTTAGTCTTGTAAGGCGTTTAACCTCCAAAGCCGTACAGAGTGCGACCCTGTCTCTTCAGCGCGTACACAACATCCATGGCGGTCACGGTCTTTCTCTTGGCGTGCTCGGTGTATGTAACAGCATCACGGATAACATTCTCCAAAAACACCTTCAACACTCCGCGAGTTTCCTCGTAGATCAGGCCGGAGATACGCTTCACACCGCCTCGGCGAGCAAGACGACGAATAGCGGGTTTGGTGATTCCCTGGATGTTATCACGCAGAACTTTTCGGTGACGCTTAGCGCCTCCTTTTCCGAGTCCTTTACCTCCTTTGCCTCGACCAGACATGATTAACTTAGAGCTTGATTCAACAAGTGCCTGCCTAGACATGCGAGTGACATTTTACAATCGCTTACAGGACCTAGTTGAAACACTAAAAGGCGGAGCTAGGCAGTGTCACGTGATTGTCCACAGGATCTTGGGGGAGAAATGCATTACATTTTATTGAAGAATGCAGAATGTTTGTGCAGCAGCAATTTATTGATTGAATGAACATATTTTTTAAAAAAATTGTTTCTGTTTTAAAATGTGGAGGTTATTACTCTTATTATGCAGCAATACTTTTTATTTTATTTGTTACAGCGAGGACCACAATAGAAACAAGCCCAGGGCTTTACTGTCTTTTTATCCTGGACAGTTTTATTTCAAAAGGTTTTGGATACTTGTATTTTTGCAGTTTGATTATAATCTGTAAAATAAAAATACAATTATATTCACCATTTCAAACGGCGCACTAATAAAGCAGAATTGCAATCACGTTTCAGTATTTACAGCAAGAATAATTGGAATTTGTATTTTACTTTAAAGTGGAAGAAGTTCATACAGTGACTGTGCTCGATTGAATCAGTAGTAATAAAAAGTACTCTGGTGTTTTTTAATTATACTGTAGTAGAGTTTATTATACTGTATATGATATAGTATTTAAAACACTTGTTTGACGAATGTTAATTATCTGTGGTAAGCTGACAAGTACTTTTAACTGACATAAACTGTGGTGTATATATTACCTTAGTTGTTGTAGGGATTTTTACAGTTTGAACCCAAAATGTACCAGTCTGCCAGAGTAAGAGATTAAATTAAAAAGAAAGTTTACTGAAGATTTGCAGTTACATCAGCAGAAGCTAGCTTCAACACTTGCAAAGTTTGTAGGCGGCTCAGCTCACAATCAGAAAACATCAACAATTACATTCAAACTTACCATCATTACTGCATCATACATATCGGTGTTTTAACCTGATTGGTCAACGCACAGATATACAGAAAAATTCCATGTGTATGTGTACAATATCTCAAGCATACAAATATCAGACAGACACTTCAGAGCTGTCCATCAGCATTCTCCAGCCTCCGGAGAAGTTTGGTCAGTGGAAAACCGGTCGTGCCCAACTAAGCCTGGTTTCTCTAAAAGTTTTTTCTTTCACCTTCGTCAATTGGTGAAGTTTGTTCCTTGCCACTGTCTTGCTTGGTTTGGGACCTGTGGAGCTGCGCATTAATGGATTTACTCTTCAGTGTTTGGACTTTCAGCAGTGAAAATTAAACCACACTAAACTAAACTGAACTTCAACTCTGAAAACTGGACTGACACATTTTACATTTACTAGAACTTTTACGTTGAGCTGCTTTGACACAATCTACATTATAAAAGCGCTCTGTACATAAACTGAATATGATACATCCATCAGAATCCATTAATAACAACTATAAAATTACCATTATTGTAATTTAGTACTTAACTGTAAGTCAATAACCCTTTTATTTACTATAAATTACTGTATTTTTAAGGTGAGTGTTGATTTGCTCAGATAAATATTCAGATTTGGTTGAGTTTAACCAGTAGAAAATCAATATCCTTGGAGGCATTGTTTATGACTTTGTAGAACAGAAGATGCCCACGTGGAGGATAAAGACACAAAGGCTTTTATTAAGCAATGCATAGGAATTGTGGTCAAATATAAAGTAGTGTGATAAAGGTGGATAAAATGCAAATGTTTATAATAGTTTTTATATCCAAAATTTAAAACAGAAGCATTACACAATTTAAGAAATCTGTAAATTCAGTTTCATTTAGTTTTTTTTTTTGTCAGGAAGTGTATTCAAAAAGAAACTGGGTTATTAAAAAGGAATAAACTTTTGTGTGTTGTACTTGTTTGGAGTGTATGTGGATATGTAGACAAATGATTTGTGCAAAATGTGTTAGAAAATTCACTGCATACGTCTAATGTATATAATCAATCTGCATTTAATCTGTGAAATATCCTAACATTTAAATAGATCACTTGTTGTCCTTGTCAACAGTTTAGAGAATTTGCTTTGTATTTAATGAATATCAAGATTTTTTTGTTGTTTTAAGATTGTTAACACGTTAAGGCATTTGATATTAACTTAAGTGTGAATCTATTAATTAGCTTTACTTTTTTAATTCCCCTACACCATTTTAATCTAACTACATATTTAGCACTGTTTATCTTCAAGTTCAGAATGACTTAACAGATTTAAAACTTAATTTGAACCAACCACTTTTCATGAAAGGAGCACATCTGATACACAAGTTGGGCCCTTATGATTGCTTTTACACCAGTCATCCTCAAGTAATTACACTACTGCTAGTATAATGTTGTACTTGTAAAAACACGGTTTGTATAGATCAGGGATGTCAAACTGAATTCCTGGAGGGTCTCAGCCCTGTACAGTTTAGTTCCAACCCTGCTCCAACACACTTACCTGTGGGTTTTAAACAAGCCTGACGCACTCTATTAGTTTCGTCAGGTGTGTTAATTAGGGTTGGAACTAAACTTTACAGGGCTGCAGCCCCCCAGGAATTCAGTTCGACATCCTATAGATGGCGTTAATTTATTTTTCTAATAAGTTAAGTACTTTGTAAATATTTTGGTTTACAAACTAATTAAATAGTCCAATTTATTGTGGTTTCACATTCAAATGTGTACTTGTGCAAAATTGAGTTAACTGTATGTGGTTAACTATATACAAAAATATTGAAACCACAATGGATAAGCACAACCATAATACAAATGAAAATCCCACTTCAGTTAGACAGACTGAGGTGGCTCTTAAAAGAGCCTTTGGGTTTTTTTCGGTTTAAACGGTTATGAACTTAAGCGCGCTCTCCGCGGATGCGGCGGGCCAGCTGAATGTCCTTGGGCATGATGGTGACCCTCTTGGCGTGGATGGCGCACAGGTTGGTGTCCTCAAACAGACCTACCAGATAAGCCTCGCTTGCTTCCTGCAGGGCCATGACAGCGGAGCTCTGGAAGCGCAGATCTGTCTTGAAATCTTGAGCGATTTCTCGGACCAGACGCTGGAAGGGCAGTTTGCGGATCAGCAGCTCAGTAGACTTCTGGTAGCGGCGGATCTCACGCAGAGCCACGGTGCCGGGCCTGTAGCGGTGAGGCTTCTTGACGCCGCCAGTGGCGGGAGCGCTCTTACGGGCAGCTTTGGTGGCGAGCTGCTTCCTCGGGGCTTTGCCTCCAGTGGATTTACGGGCTGTCTGCTTGGTTCTTGCCATTTCTTCGGAATCCTTTTGCTTCTTACTGAATAATTTTCAGCTCTCTGGCAGCTGCCATTTATACTCTACTCGGCAACGTTTCCCTGTGGGCGGAGCGTCAGCAAAGTTATTTGATTGGCTACGGCGAGAGCACTTCTTAGCGAGATATGACCAATAACCGCACGTTCCCAGATTTTGAATCAAAATCAGCCACAGCCCGCGTTTTTCATTCTCGTATTCCACAATGAGTCTTACTTTTTGGTTTCAGCAAATTGAATGATTTCTGGTGACAACTTTTGACATTTTAGGAAAATGCTTTGGAAATGTTCAAACAATACTCTGGGCAAATAGACTATCCTTTTATTATGCTATAGTGACTTTTTTGCCACATTGCCTTCCATTATAACATTTTTTGTTTGCAAAGCAACCACATAATCATGCAGTCTTGTTGGGAAGGCAATGGCTGTAATTTTACTGTTTATTAACAATTTCAGCGCAAAAAAAACGTTAATATGGAGTTATTAGTAGTGTGTGAGGACCAGACCTTTGCGAAGAAAGTTACCTTGTACGAGAAAATAAAAAAGCACTTCTACTTTTAGAACATGGTAAACATGCACACAACAGGGAAACCGCCAAAAATCAATAATGCAGGATTATATTGTGATGGATTTGCAATAAAAACATCTTTCCAAAATGAAGTCATTGGGGTAAATACAGCAACTGACTCAATTCCTATATTGCAACATATATTTTCGTTTAGGAACACGTGTTTATTCTGTAAACAGACTTGGGTTTCTCACTAAAAAGCTGGAACGTTTGTCAGAATATAATGCATAATGGATTTAGACGACTGAATGCTCTTTTAAAGGCGACAGTGGGTGGCTCTTAAAAGAGCCTTTGTGGTTAGTAGTCATCAATTTCCAGCGATTTATTTGCCTTTTGTGGCCTTCTCGGTCTTTTTAGGCAGCAGCACGGCCTGGATGTTGGGCAGCACACCACCCTGAGCGATAGTCACTCCGCCCAGAAGCTTGTTCAGCTCCTCGTCGTTGCGCACCGCCAGCTGCAGGTGACGGGGGATGATACGGGTCTTCTTGTTGTCCCGAGCGGCGTTTCCAGCCAACTCCAGGATCTCAGCGGTCAGATACTCGAGCACGGCGGCCAAGTAAACCGGAGCACCAGCACCGACCCGCTGAGCATAATTACCCTTGCGGAGCAGTCTGTGAACACGGCCAACGGGAAACTGGAGTCCAGCCCTGGATGACCGAGTCTTAGCCTTTGCTCTGGTCTTACCGCCGGTTTTGCCTCTTCCGCTCATGTTGTAGATGCACTGAAATTTACCTCTTCAAGACAGAAATACATCGACCGAACCAGGCAGTCAGTATTTAAGAGAGCGTTCTCGTCTTCTATTGGTCAAAGTCTGTGAAGCTTTCAAACCAATCACTGCACTTCCCTCCAACTCACAACGCTCTCTGCCATTGTCTTCCTTTGAGCCTGTTATAAAAAAAAATGTATTTTCAAATAGTATTAAAAAGTTAAACCAAAGATCATTATTATATCGTTTAATAAAACACACCCACCAGTCAGTTTAGTTTTTTTAGACATTTAGAATATTTTTTAAAAAGTGTTTTTTTATTTATCTTATGTAAACGTCCAAAATACATTTGATTTTTCCTCGTACTTCGGCAAACTGACTAAATTTGAATTGCAACACATTAACTCCATTTCAGCAGCACATACTTTTATTATTTTCAGCATTTTTTGTTTGTTTTTCACACACAAATGTTTATTATTTTGCCTACCTGTTTACATTTTATTCTTTTATAAATACTGCTGATTTGCTGGCTGTTTGTGTTATTTTCAGAAGCATGACGTTTTAACAAGATACCTAAAATACCCAGTTAAACTAAAGCTTTCATAAAATGTACAATTTAGCAATAAATCATATGCATAATATAAAAAGAATATATATATATATATATATATATATATATATATATATATATATATATATATTTTTTTTTTTTTTAATATATAACACCCTACTTAAGTAAATTAGGCATAAATCTGATTTGTTAACATTAATGTACACAACCAATTTAACTTTCTAATACATTCAAATTTTCCATATAATAAATATAGTCTGGTCATAATTGTTTGAATGTTGGGGTGAGGTATGCCCGAAATTATAAGAGACACACTTTAGATAAGTGTTGTGGAAAAATCAAGGTAAAGTAGGTTTGATATTCGCACATTCGTTCCTTTAACGGCCCATATATTATTTACCGTGCAAAGTTGAATACCAAATCTAAAATTGCATGCAAGAGTGACTTAAAAACAACATAAGCACTGCTGCTCTTTTGTTGGAATAAGTGGGTGGCTCTTAAAAGAGCCTTTTTGTTTAATTGGGAAAGAGAAAAAGATTTACTTCTTCTTGGGAGCGGCCTTCTTAGGCTTGGCTGCCTTTGGCTTGACCGTTTTGGGTTTTGCAACCTTTTTGGGGCTCTTAGTTGCTTTCTTGGCAGCCGCTGGTTTCTTCGCTTTCTTGGGGCTCTTTGTTGCTTTCTTAGCAGCTGCAGGCTTCTTGGCTTTCTTGGGACTCTTTGTCGCTTTCTTCGCGGCGGCCGGTTTCTTCACCTTCTTCGGCGACTTCTTGGCGGCGGGTTTCTTTGCTGCAGGCTTCTTTGCTTTCACTGCAGTTTTCTTGGCCGCTGGCTTCTTGGGCTCGGCTTGCTTGTTTAGCTTGAATGAACCGGAGGCGCCTGTGCCTTTGGGCTGGACCAGAGTGCCGTTGAGTACCAAAGCCTTGACGGCGGTTTTGACGCGGGAATTGTTCTTCTCCACATCGTAGCCGCCGGCAGAAAGAGCTTTCTTCAGGGCTGCGAGGGACACGCCGTGTCTCTCCTTGGAAGCGGTCACAGTTTTGACGATGAGATCGCGGACATTTGGACCCGTTTTCTTGGGTTTGGACGCCGCTTTCTTCTTAGGAGCTTTAGCCGGCGGGGCAGCTGGAGCGGTTTCAGCCATGTTTCTCTAAGCGAATACAGTCAAACGTCGACAACAGTCTGAGATCAATATAGAGGCGCAGCTGAGCGGCTGTAAACTTAAGTACCACATGAGGACCGTGTAGACTCAACACACTGATCATCCGAGCACCACTTGGGGGCGCCACGCCTAATGTGTGCTTTAACAGACCAAATCAAGTTTAGCAGAATATCTTGCAGATTTATAAAAGCGTAGGAGGCTACAAGCTTCCTATGAATTTAACATTTCAATAAAAAATATCCAGAAACGAGAAATTAAAAAGTGAATGTCTGACTAAATGTAACAACAACAAAAACATGTTTTCTGCATTCAAGAATAACTATTTTCTAAATTTAACTACGTTTAACGCTCAAAATCAATCATTTTGTTCAAAAAAGCTTTTTTAATTAGAAGAAAATTCTAAATATTTCCAAAAATGCTTTATTATGAAACTTGCGTGATCATCGTAGACACCCATTGTATCAGAATATCACTGAACATGTCAGAAAACCAGTCTGCATTGAAGTGTCTGTTCACCTAAAATTGAAAACTCAGTGGTTAAACTAATCATACAAAGCTCCAAGAACATTTGTGTGCAACAATTCTTTGTTCGCCTTTGTCTACTGCATCAGATCAAGATGCAGATTTAATATGGGCAAAACAACACTAGACTGCAATGGTAATGCCATGCCACCTTGTAGTAAATGTACACCCTGACCTGAATCGGAAAACAAAGGCGGACAAACTTATTTACAATTTTATTAGACACCATCACCAACTATTATTCTTTAAACAAATGTATATTCTTTATGATGTTACAAAAAATAATAATATTACTGGCCACAAATTTGTGTTAGGGCCTAGCTAGCCTAGTGTTTGCTTGCCTGAGAGTGAGAACAAGTTGCTCTCTTTATTTTACATGCATTGAATGCATATAATTAGAATTACAATAATTGCAACAAAAAGCTTTGCACACATTGCTTGGACTTTGAATTGATTAGATTGGTTTGGATTTTTTTTCTTTATGTCAAGCTCTGATAGTAAACTTGATATTTGGTCTTTCCGTGAGAAAATGCTGTTATGTTAAATAGCTGCTGTGGGCCAAATTTCATATCCCAGTTATCTTACTCTGTGTTTTATTATGTTTGCATTCATAAGTTTTTATTTTGCACATTTATGACTGAATATATATATATATATATATACATACATACAAACATATATATAACCATATATATATTTATATATATAGGGTTATATATAAGTTTGTGTGTGTGTGTGTGTGTACATTTTTTTATTTAATGTAAATGAAACTAATTGCTCGTCAGCCGTGCTGCTTTGTGTGTTAATGGATTTTAAGCATCCCTTTGAATTATTCTACATCTCTGGTATATATGAATTGCCTGTAAAATCAATCTATTATTTAACATGGTGTAGAAACCATATTAATTTACATAGAGGTACAACATGATGAATGAAGCTCTTTTGCATAACGGCGGGAAAGTTGGACAATGAAACAGTGCGGGAGATCTCTGGGGGTTGGGCGGAAAATATTCAAAATTACGAGCCTGCGATTGGCGAGAAGGTTATCTAACTGCCCACTAAGTGACCAATGAGCTCTTCATTCATTGAGCGAACGCACCCAATAGAAAGACAATACAGTCTGGCTTGGCACGAGCTTTCTATAAATACCCCGTAGGTTGAAACAACGTTATTCGGTTTCGCACTTTGAACTTTTCATCATGCCTGAACCAGCAAAGACCGCACCCAAGAAGGGCTCCAAGAAAGCCGTCACCAAGACCGCCGGTAAAGGTGGAAAGAAGCGCAAGAGGACCAGGAAGGAGAGCTATGCTATCTACGTCTACAAGGTGTTGAAGCAGGTCCATCCCGACACCGGGATCTCCTCCAAGGCGATGGGCATCATGAACTCGTTCGTCAACGACATCTTCGAGCGCATCGCCGGTGAGGCGTCTCGTCTCGCTCACTACAACAAGCGCTCCACCATCACTTCCAGAGAGATCCAGACCGCTGTGCGTCTGCTGCTGCCCGGAGAGCTGGCCAAACACGCCGTGTCTGAGGGCACAAAGGCCGTCACCAAGTACACCAGCTCCAAGTAAAATTTGAATTAACTTCAACCCCAAAGGCTCTTTTAAGAGCCACTCATATTTTCGAAATAAGAGTTTCAAATTTTCCCAAATTTTTTATTTTTTTTTTCCCCCTCCATTAAGTTTTACTGTATTCGGTTAGACGCTTAAAAGTTAATGATAATTAGACCATATTTTATTAACCACGTTTCTATCTTTTTTGAGGTTCACTTAATTTGAATTTTTCAGTAGAAAATACAAATTTTGGGCATACAGGTCTAGAAAACTTGAAGCACAGACAGTTGCAGGACATTGACTTTGAAATTCATGGGAATACTTTATCAGATTTTTTCCACAAGAGAAACTCCTGAATGAACACTCAAAATTGAATAAACAACACTTTATCTCACCCTCATGTCATCTAAACCGGTTTTCTGCTGTTGATGGATTCTTTGCATGTTTTAAATACCTAAAGCACAGACACTATCTTTGATGCTTTGGCACATGGTTAACATTTTATGTGGTGAGATTTAATTACAGACAAAGTTAATGAGCTTACATTACACAATGTGTAAATACAAAAACATGCATGTATAGTTTTGTTAATTTAATTGACTATGTTGAAGAAAAGAAACTCATATTTGAAATTTCAAGCCGATAGAGATAATGCACGATTAAAAATTAAGAAGTTTGTGAAAATGATTTACAACAGTCAAGTTTCTGTGAGTTTATTTAAAAATAATGTTACAAAACTTAATCTTGTATTCATGACAAATACGAATGTAACGTTTCTTTTATATATGCATCTTATAAAATGTAACAACTCCATTCTCATATTAAAATATTTTTAAAATGCATACCATTTGTGAAACAAAAACATACTTTAGTTTCCACATATACACATTCAAATTCGGGGGTCATTACGTTGTTTCTCAAGCAGCCCCAAACCTTGAAACAATATTAAATTATGTTATATATATTAGCTTACATCCAGTCAAATACTCTAATCTGCAATTTTTCACATCATAAAAAACTCCATATCTTAGTAGATAATAATGTATAAACAATTAAAAACAAATAGTTCTCTGACAAATAATCCAGAGAGAAGAGAAGAGGCTTTTTAAACCGTTGGCTCACATGCTGTTTTGCTTTTTTGATTTATTTCGCTTCGATGGTTTCCTTGAGTTACCGTTCTCATTTAATTTGGAAAAAGTGTCCTGTTGTGTTCTCTGATCTCTACAAAAAAATAGAAAGAAACATGTTTACATTAAATCTAGTTCAATACAACATTTAAAACTTGGCTCAATAATCATTTACACTTCACACTAAAAGCAGAAAACATGTGAACATCATCAGTGCAGTAAACTACAGAAAACAGAAAGATTATTCACAATTGTAATAGACTGTTGGACTACAAACTCAGACGTATTGAAGAGGGTGATATGACTTTGCTAAAAATAATATAGTTTTGTGTAAAGGATAAGTCTTTTAGCCTATCGAGTCTAATACATGATTAAAGGTAAAACAAAAACCCATTATTTTCTAGTGTTGGGCGATGTCGACTAATTTGGCATTGTACGATGTCTAATGTGAAACATCGAGGGCTGTTCAGAAATGCTAGGTAAAACACGGTGTGGATGTGGATGATTTTCGTTTTAAAATTCCAATTTAACACTAAGATGTTTTAGTGTAAACGGGGCCTGAGTGTGTATTTTTCGCGAGCGGGTTTGCTTAGATTTGTGTATGAATGAGGCATTTTGGAAAGCAGCGCATTTTTATTTTAAGACTATCTCTTTGGGTTTGCGACTGTTATCTTTGTGGGTCTTGCACGAACAGCTCACGACACTTTGAAAACAAAGGAAAACATGAAATCGCATCATATGTGATTTTGTCGCTGACCTCAATTCTTGCTTCAGCCTGGTGAGTTTGTCAAAAAGTCTTTCATTTGTCACATCCAGGGGGGAGTTCGGGACAAACCAGCTTGTTACACATTTAAACATCACCACTACATGCTGATTAAAGAGACAGTGTGTGAGTATATTGTTTAGATACCATGTATTGTGAATCTTATTTTAATTTCTGCTACAATTCACCTCAAACAATATGATGAAGACTAGCCGCGATGCCAGAATGACCCAAAACTGATTGGTTAAACTGAAGTCTTCACTACTTCTGTAGTCTCGATACCTGAAAGGAAAACAGGAGACATACATAATACACAGGAATGAGTTATTTTGACCATTTTGTTGACGTAAATAGAGTCTAAAAAATATGAACGCTCTGAATTGGATTACAAAATGAAAAAGGTATACAGCATCATTTTTCCAAGAGATCTTCTAAAGGAGTTACATTGCAGCTCTGAAGGTGTCAGATTGATTAACATTAATATTACCTGCAATGTGTCACACTTTCGCCACTGTCGGTGATCAGCTGATTCGGTTTGAAGTCTTCGCTGACTCTCTGGTCACTTACATTAGCGACGGACAGAGTGTTGTTGATGTATCCCACCATACAACTGAGAAATAAACAAACGTGTTTGACTCTCGTGTGGTTCTGCATGCATATTAACTACGCAGATGTGAATGCATCGAACTCACTCCACACCGGCAGGATTGCCACTGGCACAAGGCCCGTAGTAGTACTGGTAAACCAGACGGGGGATGAAATCAGAGGATATACCAATGACCAGTCCATTAGCAATGACCGCGAGCGCACTGATGGCCTCCAGCACATCCGTCCAAACACCTGAAATGGGGGAAAACAGGTCATTCTATACAGCTTCCCAGACCATTTTCCACCCTCTACTTATAGATACATTTGTGATGCTGCATGACTGACTATATACAGTGGGGGAGATGTTTTTTTTGTCCTGGGAATAATATTTCTAAAGGAGCTGTTGACATTTTAGTAAAAACCCAAACAAAAATTTAATAAAATTAGTAATAAAATGTAAAAATCTTGATAGTTCTGTGGGTCTCGTCTATCAAATCTGAGCTTTATTTTGTATTCTCATTTGGATTCGGATCTGGTGATTGGCTGGGCCATTCTACAGCTTGATTTTCTTCCTCTAAAAGCATCTGAGAGTTTCCTTGGCTGTGTTTTGGATTATTATCTTGCTGAATTGTCCACCCTGCTTTCATCTTCATCCTCCTGCTAATGTAGATGTCGGACTGAAGCAGCTGATATTCAATTACACTGAGGAAGGGCTGAGGGTTGCTGAAGAACCACTGAGAGATTTCAGCTGCTGTCTGGGCTTTCACTGCCTTTCTACACCTCCCTTTCTTCATGTGTTCAATACTATTTCCCTGCGTCATTTCATTTTATTACACATAACTTAATTTGTAAACTAAAGAGTTTTGTTTGGATATATGGATTTTTTTGGTTGTTACCAACATCCGCTAAAAATGTCAACAGCACCTTTAAAAAATATGTTTTCTGAGAAAAAGGCTGACATCTTTAATACTTATATCCCCCACTTAAATTTCTTTAAAAAAATAATATGGACAGAAATATGCCGTTCAAACAAGACTTTAGATTATTTGTTTTTATTCACAGTGAGTTCTTTAAAGGGGTAATCGGATGCTAATTTTCTACACATTCATTCGTTTTTAATCATAATACAAAGTCTAAAATGTGCGCTGGTTACAATTGCACAATGGTAGTATAAAAAAACTGTTTCAATAAAAAATATACCGTTATTAATAACCCTATATTCCCTCACCAATATCGTTGGCCTTTGTTGGCACTAGCCTGCGTTCGAGGCTGACCATCTTAATGGCATCCAGACGGATCTCAATGATGTTGTTCAGAAGAGCCAGCAATGGGGCCAACGGAAATGCGGCTACGAAGATAGTAGTGAAACTGAACTGGATCACTGCGGAGGCAAAAAAAGAACAAAAAGATCAGACATCTGTGTAAAATAATGCTAATTTTTGCCGTTTGTGAGTGTAAAATGATATGTTTTTTCTGCAGAAAGCAGTAAATCTAAACCACCCAAATCGACTTGTCCGTCACTTTATTCTTGCACAAATTTAGTTTTATATAGATCATTTTGTGGGATGTAAACAAAAACAATGGTCCCAACGTCTTTCAGAATCCAAAAAGAGCCACATATAGTGATAAATAATGTTATGATCGCTGTTTTAACATTAAGTTATGATTGAATTGCCTCTTGTTGCAGTTGTCTGGGCCACCTGACCAATCAGAGAAGAGTATACTATCTGGAAGACGAGGTTTAGAGAGACCAAATCCTTAATCCAATGGTTTCTGACACTGTGAGAAAAGTTTATCCCATCCCTCAAGGACCACCAAATATTGCCTTCAGTATTCGTAATCATTCATTCATTTTCCTTTGGCTTAGTCCCTTATTAATCAGAGGTCACCACAGCGGAATGAATCGCCAACTATTCCAGCATATGTTTTACGCAGCGGATGCCCTTCTAGCCACAACCCAGTACAGGGAAGCATCCATACACTCTCGCATTTACACACTCATACACTACAGCCAATTTAGTTCATCAATTCCCCTATAGCGCATGTGTTTGGACTGTGGGGGAAACCGGAGCACCCGGAGGAAACCCACACCAACACCAGGAGAACATGCAAACTCCACACAGAAACGCCAACTAGCCCAGCCAGGACTCGAACCAGTAACCTTTTAGCTGTGAGAGAACAGTGCTAACCTCTAAGCCACCGTGCCGCCTATTTTCAATCATCCAAAACTAACAGTAATTGTAATTTCTTCAACAAACTGTCTATTGCAGCTTCTGGGAATGTTTTCAGGATCCTTACCCATTTCCAAGAACTCATTAAAGAGGCTGAAGCGGTCGGTTTGAATCAGGCTGTAGTTCCTGTGCAGGTCCTCGAGTTTGCAGTTGTCACATAGTTCAGATGCCTCCACGGCATCCATGCACTCTTTCTTATAGCACTTCAAACACCGTCTCAACAGCTTTTGGTTCTTCTTTCTGTTTAACCACCGTCTAAACCAGCTGTAGAGAGGGAGAGGACACAGAGTTAGCTATCTGTTCATGATTCTGGCTACTTAACTGATGTTTGTAGTACATATGATCAGTTGGGCATTATCAAGCATTCATTTTCCTTCAGCTTACTCTCATATTTATCAGGGATCGCCACAGCGGAATGAACCGCCAACTATTCCAGCATATGTTTTACACAGCGGATGCCCTTCCGGCCACAACCCAGTACTGGGAAACACTCATACACACTCATTTACACACACGCACATTCATAAACTACAGCCAATTTGGTTGCCCCATATAGCGCATGTGTTTTGGACTGTGTGGGAAACCGGAGCACCCGGAGGAAACCCACGCCAACACGGGGAGAACATGCAAACTCCACACAGAAACACCAACTGGCCCAGCTGGGACTCAAACCAGGAACCTTCTTACTGTGAGGTGACAATGCTTACCACTGAACCACCGTGCCGTCTTTATTAAACATTATTATTGTTATTAAGAATTGTAATTATCTTTTAGACAAATGGCTGGATGCAGCCTACACTATCCTACTTATTATTAATATTATTCAGTCACAAGATGACACCAACAGTCGAGACCAGTAGAACTGCAGCTAAATTAAACTGTTATGTCAAAAGTTTGAGTATTTCATAAACTATGGATCCATCCCAAATCACAGTATTAATTATTGAAAAGCACCGACCACACAAAGGAATTGAGAAAGTTCTACTTACGGACCAGAATACTCAAAGATATTGTTGAAGGTCTGTTTGAGTACCATGATAATAGACATCTGAATGAACAAGTCTGTCAGACATCCGCTTGGGTGACACTGAAATGAAAAGCATGTGAAATTGAAGAAACATCAGTACAGCTGAAATGGAGGATTTGTTTATAGCACACTGTAGGAAAGATGATAATGCTCTCACTTCTTCTAGTCTCCATATGCCCGATATCTTCACATATCCTCCAGGGTGACCATTAATCCTAAAATATAATATAACATAATATAATATAATATAATATAATATAATATAATATAATATAATATAATATAATATAATATAATATAATATAATATAATATAATATAATAAAATATAATATAATATAATATAATATAACACAACATAATGTAGTATGATATAATATAATAGAATGTAAAATAATATAATATAATAAAATTCAGGGCAAATTAAATTAAAAATAAATTAAATTAAATTAAATTAAATTAAATTAAATTAAATTAAATTAAATTAAATTAAATTAAATTAAATTAAATTAAATTAAATTAAATTAAATTAAATTAAATTAAATTAAATTGGCTACCTTCCCAAAAAGAACGCTGTGTATATGAGAGAGGAGAACATGGTAAAGAATTGAAATATGAACATTTTCACTGTGAAGCTCCTTTCGATGGCAGCATGTGAGTGCTTGTTCTCTGCAAACAAAAAACAATACAGTCTTAAGCAGTGTTGTTTATCATAAATGTGTATGTTTTCCATAAAAAATGTCTGATAATAAAAGCCACTGACCTATTTCACTCAGCTTCATGGCTACCATACAATTCACCTGCGTGAAATAATTACAAGGTTATATATCTACTCTAATAATTTGACGAGAGAGGCAGTTGTATGCATTGCAGCAAACCGTAAGCTGTGTTTTTGGTTGTGCTTATGTCTTTTATTTTGTAGTTTAATCTTGCCATCCTGTTCCATGTTTTTGTTTTGCCATGGAACGTTCTTGTATTTTTGGATAAGGTCGCTCATTCATTCATTCCTTCATTTTCTTTCGGCTTGATCTCTGATTTAGCAGAGGTCGCCACGGCGGAATGAACCGCCAACACCAACTAAAGGCTTAACTAGGGTAATTAGGGTAACTAGGCAGGTTAGAGTAATTAGGCAAGTGATTGTATAACGATGGTTTGTTCTGTAGACTATTAAAAAAAATAGCTTAAAGGGGCGAATAATTTTGACCCTAAAATGTTTTATCATAAACTAAAAATAGCTTTTATTCTAGCTGAAATAAAACAAATAAGACTTTCTCCAAAAGAGAAAATATTATCAGACATACTGTAATAAATTTCTTGCTCTGTTAAACATAATTTGGGAAATATTTAAAACAGAAAAAAAATTCAAAGAGGGCGAATAATTCTGACTTCATCTGTATATTAATTACCATCAGTCCAAGGCACTCGAGAAGTGGGTGAAAAGGTTAAAAAGCCTTTATTAGCATGACTTTTTTTAATGAAATAGGACTCACAAAGACACGTGATTCTGGATTTCATTTTTTTTTTAAATGTTCTCCTCCGGAAAACGTCATTAAAAATATCGCCGACATTGTTATTTTACAGTACAGTTTATTACAGATATATTACAGTACAGTATGATACAGTTTACAGTTTTTGTCCAACAAAATGCTTTCTACAATGTGAAGAGTGTGTTTGCTGCACAACTATTTACTACTAACTAAATCAAACCTCAGATCTACCTGAGCTCAAACTCCCCTCTCGCCTTGCAAATGGGAGGGAGCCCCGGGCTCGAAGATCTTATGAGCTCAGGGCTCTCCCCGGGGACAGCATGCCAAGCTTTATAATCAATCATCAGCTGTGAACTCTTAAAACATAATAGTTTTAATGACTTATTTCTAATGGCTCATTTCTTTTGTCTTCATCCTGATGATTGTATATAATATTTCACTGGTAATTTTGCAAGATAAGTGCAATTTCGATTAACTAAGTTATTTAGGCAAGTCATGAATAACACTGTCCTTAGCTGCTCTGTTAAACATAAATTGGAAAATAAGTGTTATGTTCTTGGAGCTTTTACCCGAGTCATGACTGTGATGGTGATGTAGTGTAGCACAGCCCCGAGCATCAGAGCCACTGTCTGGGAATTGTCACCAATGAGCTGCCATTGGCTTTTTTCAGCCAGCAGGACAGTAGCGATGACTCGAAACACAACCAGGGCGTGCGTCAAACCGATGATGATCAGCAACTGAAACACACACACACACACACACACCAACAAAGCCATTTAGCTATGCATACATTAAAATACATTAAATTTAAACTATTTTCCAAGATAAAGGTTTTTTTAACAGTAGTTTTAATAACTAATTTCTAATAATAATTCATTTATTTTTTCCTTTCCATGCTGACAGCACATCATATTTTACTAGTTATTTAGCAAAAAACTAGCATTCATCTAAACATGCAATTTTAAGGCTTAACTAGGTTAATAGGTTTAGTAATAATGTTAAGTAAGGTTAATTAAGCAAGTCATTGAAGAACAAAGGTATGTTCTGTAGACAATTGAGGAGAAGATTATCTTAATCTTAAGGAGATAATAATAGCTATATAACAGTATGTCTGGTTCTCGAATCCGATTGGCTGATAGCTGTGAGATATTAAAGCAATATCAGCATTCGTACAGCCTCTTCACCCTTGTCTATTACTCCACCCACACCCATTGCAGCTGTTGGACAACATCATGTACTTTTGAGGTTATTTTAGTGGAGAATGTACCGTAGTTATTTAGATTTCAACCATGCAGTTTATTTATAAGGATAGTGTCTATTTTAAATATTCATAACTTCCGAGATTCAGTGGTTGGCGGTCATTAGTCTGTCATACTGAGCAGAGCAAAGACTGTTGACGTTCTGCCACAAGATGGCACCAGAGACCACATAACAAGTGCTTAGAGGAAAAAAACTCAACGTAAGTTTCAAACTACAGCTGAACAAATCATTATAAATCTGTTAAGTCACATTCTAAGTCGATCTCTCTCATTTATGTGTGGTAGAGCTGTATTTACACCACAGTAATCTGCTAGTGTTTGCTTTGCTTTGGCTATTTTGGGGTTAATTATTGTGATCTACCAATTGCAACAGAGAAACACTGGGAAATCTCTGTGGACTGATGGCATTTCATGCTGTTCAACCTTATAATCTTGAAATCAGAAAATCAGCTGTCTTGTCATCACTTTAGACATTACGCTAGAGAATCATTCAAACACTAGCTCTGAAGTGGCGGTTTCTGCTGATCTGACATTAGCTGCAGATTTGAATGAACTGCATAAGGAAGTAGTTCTTCTAGTTCTTCTTCTTCTTAAGTTTCTTTTTTTATATACATGATTATATGCACTCATAGCAGTGTAATATGACTGTATATCATCACTAAACACTAAAGCACTGTCTTGTGACAATGCACGCCTCCCACCAGTGCTAATATACAGTCTTTGCACTGGTACTCTTGTAATATTGCTCATTTATCATAGCAAATTTTGCATTTTTATTATATATGATGGTTTGTTCTGTAGACTATTTAAAAAAAACTTTTGCTTAAAGAGGTTAATAATTTTGACCTTAAAATGGCTTTAAAAAATAAAAATGTGCTCTTATTCTAGCCGAATAAAACAAATAAGACTTTCTCCAGAAGAAAAAATATTATCAGACATACTGTGAAAATTTCCTGAATCTGTTCAACATCATTTGGGAAATATTTTAAAGGGAAAAAATTAATTCAGACTTCAACTGTATATCATTTTTAAAAATATTGATTTATTTTGTCCAGCCAAAGCAAACGGGACTTTTCCCAGAAAAATAAAACACTGTGGAAAGAATTGCTTGTTAAGTTAACTACCACTTACTAAATAATTAAAATTACACAGGGGGCTAAGGATTTTATAGGCTATATAAAGTAGATACTCGTTGGTAAAGTCCCTATTGGTTTCTTACCATAAGTGTTACTAAGGCCAGAACTATAGTGGAGCGCAGATAGGAGTGTCTGTGCATCTTGGGTTCACAAGCTGCATTGTTTACAATCTCCATGATCAACTCCTCCTGCACAACACAAACACAACTGCACGTTATAATTCATTCTCTTCATTAACCAGGTTTAAAGCTGCAGAGTGACCCGCCCAAGAAAGCTTCTGCAAATAATACAATATATAAAACTGACATTACACTTCAGAACACATGATTGGAAAGTTTAGGTTGAAAGTTTAAAAAAAGTTATAATCTAGAACTGGCTTATTTTTATGCTCACAGCTCATCTCAGACATGAAAACAATGCGAATGCGCTACAATCAAGCAATCAGTGAGCTATATTCATACAATCTACAAACTTTGCAATAGAGAGGACAAACTGGCACTTTAGAAAAAAAGTGCATGCTTATTTATTTATCATCTTGTGTAAGTTTGATGCTACGCTTCAGATTACAATGGGTTTATAGGAATGTTAATATCAATGATTCTCATTCTCACATTTGGTTTTGGTATGCAGAGAATTCACAGATGCAATTAACGCCGTCATTAGAGGAGGTATTATAGCTTATTGTGGTGAACTAAGATCTGTGTGAATCAGTCACACTTGTTCATTCATTCATTCATCTTCCTTCGGCATAGTCACTTGTTCATCAGGGGTCACGACAGTGGAATGAACCACCAACTATTCCAGCATATGTTTTACACAGTTCTTACTTTATTTAGTTTATATTAAGCAAAATAAATAAAATAAAATAAAATAAAATAAAATAAAATTAAATTAAATTAAATTAAATTAAATTAAATTAAATTAAATTAAATTAAATTAAATTAAATTAAATTAAATTAAATAAAGTTCTGATTAAATAAATTTTTTTCATAATATTGTTCGATAGAAATCAAGATGAATTAAATATATCTAGTCATACCTCTTCCTCGCACCAGTCATACACCTTCCACGCACAAACGAAAGACGATCTGTGGCGTTTCCAGAACTCCAGAAACACCGTGGCTGAAGATGAAGACAGTGATATTCATCATAACATTAACTCAATCCAAACTAAAGCAAGTTATAGATGCTGAACTTACCCCACACAGCCATGAACATAGCGAATGCCACTGTTCCTGCATTGTCAAACAGAAGGCTCACCTGTGACCCAAAGCAGCACAAAATAATGTCATTACTATCCTTTTTAAAAGCCCAGCAAACAGCAAATGTTCTGGCAAGGCTCCCTAAAGGTTATAAACAAATAATATGCGGCTAAAATCAATATGACACTTGCTCAGAGGGATCTGCGCAGAACATTATTGATACAAAATATTTTGCTCTTTTACACTTTAGTTGGACATTCAGCATTTCTGAAATGTCACCACTTGTTACAGAATGTTCAAAATGACGTAAGACAAACATTCTTGCGTGTTTTTGTTTACAGGTTAGTTTGTGTTGAAGCCTTGATGTCAGTAAAGAGCCTCCTGTGACATGTGGAATGAAAACGGTTTGGCTGAAATGTAAAAGTGCGTTACCTTTGCGTACATGCAGGTGTCAGAAAGATTCCAGACTTTGCATTTATTATTGCACAATGGGCACATGGTAATGTTAGAATTGCACACCTCCTGTCTGCATACACACACACATACAACACAACACAACACATCAGCTGATTTTATTTCAGCATTTTTATATATCTAACATACACAGAACAAAAATAGTAGCCTTATTAACTGTCTTTTGTGAGTGTACAGTGTATATTGTGAAATCTGCAGTGTTTTTAATGAGGCAACAAACACATAAACTGTGATCGATGCACGATTATGCATTGTTCATTTGTATAGGCTGTTGATAATATGGCAATATGCATTAACATTAATTCCTCAACTCTAAATACATCTCCGTCAGTCTATTTTGTTGGATAGAATTATAATTTAGCCTATATTTCAACACATATGCGACTTTCTTTGACACTTTCGATTGTAGCTTGTCAAGGCATCTACTCAGTTTGTTAAATACAGTTGAAGAATTATTCGCCCTCCTTTGTATTTTATTTTCGTTTCCCAAATGATGTTTAACAGAGCAAAGAAATTTTCACAGTATGTCTGATAATATTTTTTCTTCTGGATAAAATTTTATTTGTTTTATTTCGGGTAGAATAAAAGCAGCTTTGAATTTTTTAAACATCGTTTTAAGGACAATAATATTAGCTTCTTTAAGCTATTTTTTTTTCGATAGTCTACAGCAGGGGTTCCCAAACTTTTTAGCCCGCGACCCCCAAAACAACAATGCCAGTGACTTGCGACCCCCAATATCTTCTGAAGTGGTTATAAATACAGAAACCTTGCATGCAATGGCGCACACACACCAATAAACCCAAGTCCATTCTTCGTTGAATTTTTTTAAATATATGTCAGTGTTGTAAATGTGCCAGAAAGTTCAATCTAGTATTTTAAAATCAATCTGCTGCATCTGATGCTATTGCTTTGTCTTATATATAATGCAATTACCCCAGTGATCACAATCCAATAGAACTAGTAGTTATAAGCTACCATAGTAACTATATACGGCAGTAATTATCACGACTATTTTTTTCTTTTCAGTAGGTTATGGATGAAATATGCTCATTCTTATGGTTTAATAAAAATAAATAGATTTTTGGAGATCCCCAGGCGACCCCCCTTCATTGTACCGTGACCCCACTTTGAGAACCACTGGTCGACAGAACAAACCATCATTATACAATAACTTGCCTAAATACCCTAACCTGCCTAGTTAACCTAATTAACCTAGTTAAGCCTTTAAATGTCACTTTAAGCTGTATAGAAGTGTCTTAAAGAATATCAAGTCAAATATTATTTACTGTCATCATGGCACAGATAAAATGAATCAGTTATTAGAGATGAGTTATTAAAACTATTAATAATAATCAAAACAGAAAACAAAAAAAACTAGGGGGCTAATAATTCTGACTTCAACTGTATATATTTTCACAACTGAGGTATGATTGTTTTATGTTTACAATTCAGAGTACAACATGCCGTGTGAACGTCAGTGACTGACATGAGCTTCTGGAGCTCGTTAATATTCATGACCCTTCCAAATAAGGTAAAAACAGTCCATTTCAACCACTTCCTCAGGGTTGTAAATGCACACGTGAAGCAGTTTCATAAGAAATGTTAGACTTAACTAAGTCACATACATCCTATTTAGGGATCAGAAAACAGTTAAAAAATATTGTATCCGTGCAATCTATGGCACCTTTATTTCTATTGTTTCACTTGATATGACTTTAACCAGATTATGTTAATTAAAAATCTATTTGCGTGGTCAAATCTTACTCCCAGATGGTTTAAAACTGAATATTGTTGTCTATGTAAACGTGCTGATTATCATTTATGAATATGAGGCGACTCACATGAGAGGACTGGTGCTGTAGAAGGCCAGGCCATACAGGAACACGATGATCCCGATTACAGAAGCAGGAATCAGGAGAAATGTGTACCAACCCAACCACAGAAAATAAAGAGCCACCTTCTCACCAAGGTAGTTTCTGATAACAAAGACAACAAATCAATCGCCAGGAAACCTTTCATTCATTCCGTATTTTGTGTTTTCGGTTTATTTATGGTGGTGAACTGCATTATGGGATGTTGATCTCTGCTCTGTCGACTTTTGATGTTGATAATTCAACTCAAGAGTTTAACAGAGTAATTTTTATTGACATTTTAGTAGTTTGAGATAATATAATGTACAAGCAATGGAGAAATAAATCTGTAAAATAACAGAAAATGTGCTGGCAGCTTATTACAATGTATTTGTAGCATAATATGCAACACTAACACAGACAAGATAGAGCTGCAGACTATTAAAACTTTCAATAAAAGTGACTTTTTCCAACTTTTGAAGGGTATAAGTTGGCAGAAGAAAGATAAAGCTCTCATAATACGATTCAAGGTCATAAATAAATCACAAAATGAGTCACAAAACACGGAAAACTGCTAATTTATAGATATTTTTACAGTGTATAATGACAAAACAGACAAGTTTCACCAGAAAACAATGAGAAAGAGAACCTGACGTTAGTTATGGGTTGCCCCCGAAAAGTTGCAGACCATCGAGCCCAGCTCTTCTTCAGTTCTTTCTGCTCCCTTTTCTAGGAATTAAAAGAGACGAAAGCCTTACTAAAGGTGAACTGAATACTAAATCCCTGATCTCGTTTCATTTAAATTAATGGTCATCACTGCATTTTAATCATGATCAAAATAAACATGCAGCATGAGCAGTGTTAATCTAAATGAAACTGCATCATTTCAGAGGAAAACAAATACAGACGGTGTGAATTTAGTTTAGTGAAACTATTAGCCTTCTCCATACAACCTGTAAAGAAAAACAACAGACAAACTGAATGAGATGCAGATTCGCTCTCTACTGTAGGCAAATGAATCAGAAGTCCCAAAACAATCACAGGAAAAGAGCTTACTTCTGCATTAAATATGTATATGCTTTTGTTTTGGTAAGCTTGTTTTAAATGATTTATTGAACAGAATACAGATATTTTGAAAAATAGGAAATATTTCACCTTTTTTACCTTATTTAAAGCTTCAGACAATGTTGATAGAATAATCATAAATAAAATATATTAGTCACATGACAATAAAAAAGACAATAAAAAAAAAATATATATATATATATATATATATATATATATATATATATATATATATATATATATATATATATCAATAGTCTATGCATGAACACAATCAACCCTGTCTAAAATAAAATAAAATAAAATAATATAAAATAAAATAAAATAAAATAAAATAAAATAAAATAAAATAAATCCTGACATTCATGTCCATGTATCTCGAAGATGTATATATATATATATATATTAATAGAAATTTCTCATTTAATTTCTCATGAAGCTGCTTGTAAAAATGTGACCCTCTGTGGAGTAGCGGAATGTGCAATAAAAATAAAATAAAAATAAAATAAAATAAAATAAAATAAAATAAAATAAAAATAAAACAGTTATAATGCTAATAAAAGTTTAATTTTTAAGGGTTTTGAAAATAGTTTTTAACTTTAATATATAATAATATAATATATTATAAATATAGTTTATGGCTTTAAAAAATACACATTCACTTTTATTTTTATTGTAATGTGTGAGAAGTAAATCAAAGTCACTTATTGCCATAAAAGCACACCCAAAATTCACACATAACATGAAGACAATCAAAATATTACATAAAAATCCCCTTTGCTACATATAATGCTATTCATTTGCTATTGTAAAATTTTACACTTTAAAAACAATCCTTCAAACCAGGTTTTTATTTATCAGCAAGGAGTTCTTTAAAAATCTGAAATTTAACACCATTTAGTTTGATAGTTCACTCAATAGTTAGCTTATTCTTTGATTGTTTCAGACTATTATAAAAATTTTTATCAATTTATTATAATTCATTCATTCATTCATTCATTCATTTTCTTTTCGGCTTAGTCCTTTAATTAATCTAGGGTCAGAATAAGCATAATTAATAATTGATAAATGTAATATCTTATACAAACTAAGCACCAAATCAGCACTAATATGATTTCTGAAGGAACACACATGAGGACTGATGGGATGTAAAAATTGATACTTGTTTTATTGTTATATATAGCCAATTATTTTAGTTCATGTGGAATTCATATTGGTTTATACTGAATTTTCAAGCAGGATAAATGTGATAAATCTCGATATGCACAGAATTGTCCCACTGGGATATACTTCCTTATCAATAAATTAGCATTAAGTGAACCTGCCATGTGAACTCCGCATGACAGGTGAGGAAAATGCTGTGAGGATGAGAAATATGATAAAATCTTACCTCGTGTAAGCAGAAGTACGTCTCAAAAACATCTTTTTTCATCAGATCGGGCAGATATTCTGGAACACCTGAGAGAGAGGTAAAGCGAGAAGACGTAATATGCAGTGTTGGGTGCAACTAGTTACTATAATTAAATTATTCATCTGCTGACAAAGAAAAGCAAGTGATTACTGTATATTTTAAGGTCATTTAAATACAGTTATGCAATCTACTTGCATTAAATATTGTAAATAAATTCAGAGAAGCAGAGTAATGCTTTTTCTTAAACAAATATTGATTCATTTATTAATTTTCTTTTGGCCTAGTCCCTTATTTATTAGGGGTCGCTACAGAGGACTGAACCGCCAACTATTCTAGCATATGTTTTATGGGTTTCCAGCTGCAACCCAGTACTGGGAAACACCCATATACACTCACATTCACACACAATAATACACTGCGGCCAATTTAGTTCATCAGTTCCCCTATAGCACATGTGTTTGGACTGTGTGGGAAACCGGAGCACCCGGAGGAAACCAACGCCAACACAGGGAGAACATGCAAACTCCACACAGAAATGCCACTGACCCATCCGGGACTTGAACCAGCATCCTTCTTGCCACCGTGCAGCCTTTATACATTCTTTATACATACAGACTCAAATCTTAATAACTAAAAGAGTTTAATTTCTATTGTCTATGCATGCAGATGTATAGAAATTTTGAAATGTGTGGAGTCCAGCAAATACATTACATTTCCGACAATGTAGTTATATAAATAATTCAAATATAGTTTTAATGATGTAGTTAATAATTAATTATTTTTTTTTCAAATGAACTCACCCAACACTTGTGTTTTGGATTCTACATATTTAAATCAATCATACAAATACACTGATGTAATACAATGTAGTTTACCAATTAATGTCACTCACCTTGTGTGTCAATGCTTGTGTGATGCACAATGAAATCAACCACACGAATCCTAAAACAGAGTCACAATGTGCATCATCACAGACTGTTTTTTAGATGTGCCCACTTTTCTTATAAGGCAATAATAATGTTTTATTGTGTAGTATATGTGCTTTATTGCCTATCAAAATTATGGCATGTTTTAAAAACCATCCAGGCTTACAGTCTGTCAAAGTACGCCTGTCAAATAGTAATTTTTAAAAATGTAATCTATAATAATCTCTAACATAAAAACTGGAACTGGAAAATCAAATACAAATTATATCCTTCAATGTACATACGTAAACATAAGTAATAATATACACAATTTTGCATATTAACAGGAGAAAAGCATATGCAAAGATTAAAGGCAAAATAATGACAGGATTATTAAAATAAATAAATTATATATATATATATATATATATATATATATATATATATATATATATATATATTTATATTAAGTTTGAACTATCACACAGACTCAAGTAATAGCTTGGGGAAATTCAGATATGCATTATCAAACTAAATTATTAACAATAATCAAAGAACAGAAACAAAGTAATAACTAATTTAAATAAATTCTGTTAAATAGTTGTATTTCTACTATATGTTTTACTTTAGAAAATGTGACTTGTATTACTCTTTTTGCTGTCTGCTCTATCGAAAAGACAGTTTAATGTTATTATAATGGTACTGTAATGAATCGGGGTACAACGGAGTTGCGGATCCATGTGCAATTTATCACAAAGAATAGTCAGACAGGCAACGGTCAAAACAGGGGTAAACAGGAGCATAAAGGAAATCCAGAAGCAGGCAAATGGTCTGGTCATGACTCATGAGGCAAAACAACGTAAACAGTTAAAAAAAGCAAAGGTAAGGATAACACTTACATGATGCTCTAAACAAAAACAAGACTCAGCAAAGAGTGTGTAAATGTTAGATCGCTGGTGATCCTGGCAGGTATTTTGTATCAGGAGAATATTCTGTTTTAACATTTTAGACATTAAGAAAGTTATTAATTGGAATTAATTTAGAATTCTCCTCCTTTTTTTTGGAGTTTTGTGATCCATTTAAATAAGAATGCATTTTCTGTATTGAATGTAATGATTATTTATTTTTTGTTAGTGTGTATTGCTGTGAACGTGTTACCTGGTTGACTGTGGCACGGTTCCCTTCTGTTCACAGCTCCAGTTACAGGCGTCGGACACTTTTAAGAGATACCGGTACGTCTCAAAAATTGAGTCTGCTGCTCTGATGCAATAAAACATCTTTTCATCATAATTTGTATATTTCTGCAAAAAAAGAAACATAACTCACCAACTATGAACAATAAAGCACATATTATTCTGGAGCTTCAGCTAGTAACATTCTTTAAACAATACAGTACAGGCATTATACATTTTTAAACGATGAAATATCATTGACTATCATCTGACTATCACAACTTAATTTTATGGGAAGCAGCCGTTAGTTATGCTTACATATTATAAAAAGGGGAATGTTCCCTTAAAGGGGAATCCAAACTTCCCCTTTTGTACTCTTCTCTGAGGTTAATTTATAGTGTTATCAAGATTTCAACATCATAATTTAGAAGTGAGTGGCTATTTTCTATTTGACCTCTATCAGAACACTGTTTGAATGGGCGTGGCCAAGTGTAGACTCAGAAGTTAACCCCCACTGCTTTGATTGGCCGACAGGTTTGCATATTAACAGGGCTAAATGAGCGGTGAAGTACAGGTGGGTGTTGATTTTGTGTGTGGGCGGGGCTTATCCACAGCATTACATCATACAGTGGGGAAAATAAGTCATGTTTTTACTTGGGAATAATATTTCTAAAGGAGTTGCTGACATTGAATTAAAGCAGATGTTGGTACAACTCAAACCATACAAACATCAAACTAAAACAAAACAAATCAGACTTCAACAGAGAGTCAAAATCTTGATGGTTCTGTGGGTCTCGTCTATCAAAGCTGAGCTTTATTTTGTATTTTCTGTTGGATTCGAGTCAGGTGATTGGTTAGGCCATTCTACTGCTTGATTTTCTGTCTCTGAAAACATTTGCTAATGTAGATGTTGCACTAAAGCAGTTAGGGGTGTTAATTTACAATGACAAAGGGCAGAGGTTTGCTAAACTACTAAGAGATTTCAGCTGCAGTCTGGGCTTTCACTGTCTACACCTCTCTTTCTTCATGGGTTCAATACTTTTTCCCTGTGTCATTTAATTTTATTAAGCCTAACTTAATTTGTACACTAATTAGATTTGTTTCGTTTGCATATACAGATTTCTTTGGTTTTTACCAACATCCAGGGAAAAATTACAGGGGCACCTTTAGAAATATGTTTTCTAAGAAAAATGGTGACATGTTAAATACGTATTTTCCCCGCTGCACTGCAAAAATGTATTTTCTTACTTTTTTTTTACTTGTTTTTTACTTGTTTCTAGTCCAAATATATAAAAATTCTTAAATCAAGAACAATTTTCTAGACAAGCAAAACATATTGATTTGTTTTCAGAAATAATATGCCAAAATTAAGCGAGTTTTTCCTTAAAACAAGCAAAATAATCAGCCAATAGGGTGAGCAAAATAATCTTATGTCAAAAGGAAAAACTAAATTATTTTGCTCAACCAATTGGCAGATTATTTTGCTTGTTTTAAGGAAAAACTCACTTAATATTATTTCTGAAAACAAGACAATATGTTTTGCTTGCCTAGAAAATGCATCTTGATATAAGAATTTTTAGAAAGACAGAAAATCTAAGTAGAAAAAGCATTTTGTGCGGTGTGTATATTAGAACATTCCAGAACTTGTGGTTTTGTCAGGCTGCCTTCGATATAAGCAGATTTTAGCAGAACCACACAGTATTGAGCTCAAAAACTTACAGAAAGTTGTATTGTACCCTGATCTGTTAAATAACAAGGGAACTTTGAATTCTTAGTTCACAACCTCTTTAACCCAATTTTATATGATTAACCTTAAAGCTACTCAGAACATAACTATGGAAAAACGTTGACTTACCTTTACAGATAATTGCTTCTGTTTCAAAGCTTGAATGAAAGCATTACGTTTTCTCGCGCTGTGACTGTTCTCGTCATCTGAGGTTTTTGCCACAAGAACATAATCGTAGGTCAAAGAACGTTGCTGACATCCAAAAGAAAGAATAAAACTATGAATTAGTATTATTATTACTCACAATAAAACTTTCCACATGTATATACAAGGAATTCATACATGCACCAATTTCATTTTGTAAACAATTCAAAGGTGCATTAGCTGACGCATAAAGACCACTCAAAAATCTTTTATAAAGATTTATTTACTTAAGTTTGAATTAATATATACATCAAAAGCTGTTTATATTAATTTAGGTTGAATTAAGGATATATATATATATATTCAAAACAGATATATTTCCACCCAAGCCTCGCTTTGAAATATAAATTTAATGTAAAATCGATCCATTTGTTGAACTAATACACCTTTATTGTCATTGTTAGATGTGAAAGGTCTTACCACTGGAACCACTGACAGGTTTTCATTGCCATTCTCATTCACAATTCCAATGGTTTCTAAAAGGTCAATGCTCCCCTAAAACAACACAACAAAAACAATTCAGTTTGTACAAAACAGTTAATACCGACAATTGCAAACACAAATACAAACAATCATGCTGAACAATATGAAAAAGAATAAGATAGTATGACACTTTTCTACAAACACATGCTACAAAGACCACAGCCGATAGATATGGGCCAGCAGGGACCTTCCATCCACATGGTTAACCAGCTATAGATCAAATACAGCTGCAGCCGGAAGTTAATGAGAATTATTTATATTCTTTATTACATTTCCCAGTTATTGTATTTTATTAATGTCTAAATTTACCCCAAGCCTAAACCCAACCATCACAGTAATGTAAAACAGATCTGGATCTGGAGTCTTCTCTATTAGAATAGCTGATTAACCATGTGGGTGGATGATAACAGCCTTCTGAGGCTACCAGTCGGCGCAGAAGGCCCCTACTGGCCCATATCTATCAGCTGATAACCACTAATAACGACACATTCATGTATAGTACTTATAAAAAGTTTTTGCACAGTCGCATTTTATGTGTAGTCCACTCTTTATAGTTCTAGTATTTTGGTTAGCCGGCCCCTCCTGGGAAGGTTCTCCACTGTTCAATGTTTTTGCCCTAATTTACAGATAATAAACGCTTTAGAAAGGGCTTTATAACCTTTTCCAGGCTGGTGGATCTCAATTATTTTCTTTCTCATTTGTTTCTGAATGTCTTCGGATTCAAGAATGATGTTTTTGAGGATCTTTTGGTCTACTTCACTTTGTCTGGCAGGTCCTATACAAGTAATTTCTTGATTGCGAACAGATGTGGCAGTAATCTGGCCTGGGTGTGGCTAGAAAAATGTAACTTAAGCTGCGGTCACACTTCACTTTTCGCCCCATGGACTTCCATCCAAGCGCAAGCAAATGCGACAGACTGGAAACGCAAGCTCAAGTTTCGCAGTTCACTGTGTTGCAAAGTTCAAGCTTGGTGAACTCTAAACGCATCACGTGACTGCGTGAGACCAATCGACGATCAAAACATGACCTCAGTGTACAGAAATTTAAATTATGGACCAATCGCTTGCTTTTTTAAATGTTCAATCATCTTGTTTAATCCCTTCTCTTTTAATCCTGCCTCTTTTAAAACAGAAATTTGCATGCTTAATGTCTATTGTGACCGAAGCATTAGGTTTGATAAACCAGACTTAAGTTATGTTTCAGCAGGCGAACGCTTTATCCACACAGGACTATGTAGTTTTGTATTTTGTTTTCCCCTAATTATGCAAACCTTCATTCATGAACTGCATGATCTGTTTATGTGTGTTATACTGGGCTAATATTTACATTTGTTTTATGATCTGAATGATTAAAGTGTGACAAACATGCACAAAAATAAGAAATAAGGGGGCACACACTTATTCACACTACTATATTGTCAGACATTTTTTTATGTTCATATTTAAGCTTAATCGGTATAGCATGGTGGTCCTGCGAGACATTCCACTATATGTCCACACAATGTGCCCAAATGACAATAAAGCCCATCCTAAATTTGGTGTTACAGGCTTTCTGCGGTGTTCAACCAAAGAAAGAAGCTCAAAAATGTTTGAAACCACTTGAGGGGGAAAAAATAGCAAATACAATTTTAGATTTTGGGTCAAGTTCACATTAGTTCAAGCTAGTTTTTTTTTTTTTTGTTAGTTTTTTTTTTTGTCAAACCACATACTTCAGAGCCACTTCTGTAGAGTTAGAAAGCTCTGGCTTTGTGTTTGTGCCATATAAACCAGCATAATGGCATGCTTAGATATGCACGAAAAAAATAATGAAACATTTTGGAAAGTTTTAGAAGTGTTGATCCACCACGAGTTCTACTTTCACACTACTGACCGATTTGTGGTTCATTGTGCAACAGGCAATCCTTCATTTAACTCTGAGAGTGCATATGGCAATACCAGAAATACCACTGTGCTGACTCAAGAGTTATCAAGTCATGAGGGTTACGTTGTTTCTGCATTTTAATACCCATGTTTAGAAGCCATTTCACATACTTTGATGCAATCTGATTCTAGATAATTAGTTTTTTTTTTCTTTAAAGCGACCTTTAAATAGTCTGAATAGAGCTCACAACTGCGTAAACGTTCCACCCCAGCAGAAGCAGAAGTATTTCAACAATAGCACATGTTTTGATAGGTAAGGGAAGGACAATAGAAGGGTTTGTGTTTCTTGCCATGACTCAAACGCAGGTTGTTTCGCAGATACCGTGTTTACAGATACCTCTTCTCCACAGCTTAACGTGAATCTAGTGACAGTTTCTCACAGACAAATGAGCCATGACACTGTAGACAGTTTCATATTTCAGTTACTTCCCTCACAGCTTTTATCAAATATATAACTCAGTGTTGCACATTGTTTTCCTTATGCCAGGGGATGTACTCCAAACATTCTGTCAAGGTTGTCTTCAGTCACACTGTGATTCAAATTTCTTTGATAAGCCTAAAACATTATTTATATCCTTCCTGAAATGTATTAGCTAGACCTCGGTCTGTCGATTTCTCGCACATTGTTCAGTACAACAGTTGTGTTTTAGAACTAAAAGCTCATTTGTTTTGTCAAGTTGCGTATTATACATTGACGATGGGGGGTAATGTTAGTTTGTGTAGAACATTGTTCAGTTAATTAAATATATATATACAGATGAAGGCAGAATTATTAGCTCCCCTGTTTATTTTGTCCCCACTTTGTGTTTAACAGAGAGAAGATTGTTTCAATACATTTCAAATCATAATAATTTTAATAACTCATTTCTGATAGCTGATTTATTTTCTCTTTGTCATGATGACAGTAAATAATATTAGACTAGATATTCCTCAAGACACTTCTATACAGCTTAAAGTGACATTTAAAGGCTTTCCATGGTAATTAGGTTAACTAGGCAGGTAAGGGTAATTAGGCAAGTGATTGTATGGTTTGTTCTATAGACTATCGTAAAAAAAATAGCTTAAAGGGGCTAATAATATTGACCGTAAAATAGCTCTTAAAAAATTAAAAACTGCTTTTATTCTAGCCAAAATAAAACAAATAAGACTTTCTCCAAAAGAAAAAATATTATTAGACATACTGTAAACATTTCCTGAATCTGTTCAACATCAATTGGGAAATATATAAAAAAGAAAAAAAATTATATATATATATATTTGTGTGTTTTTGAGGTATATTTACTGTATTCTGAGCTACAGTAACCTCTTGTTAGCTGTTTCCGATGTTTTTTTAGGTTGAACTATAAAAACCATGCATCCAATTTGACTTTACTTTTAGGCTAAATGTAGAAACAAACAAATATTTTTCAAGAAAAGTGTCCTTTAAATACTTAAAATGTCTATCGATGCTCTGATCAGCCGGTTACAGACTGTTGAATGGTGTTTTTCTTGCATAGACTGATTGGCGCCATTTTGCGCTCAATATAGTATCAACTGTTTTAGTGGTGGTCAAATTTATTTTATTATCTTTTATTTTAATTATTAAAAGTCTTATTTAAAATACAGATCAGAGAAAACTTCTCGCTATTAAATGGCTGACGGCTCCATACTACGGTTGGGTCGATAGACGATCCTATCATCCATCGGCGATGGTCGATAGACATCACAATGCTAAGCACGCATTGTGATCCTCTGTCGCAAACCCGCTCACAAAAAACACACACTCAGGTCCTCTTTACACTAATTTGTCTTAGTTTTAAAATGCCATTTTAGAATGAAAGCGATTCACATCCACACTGCCGTTTCACCTAGCATTTCTGAAAAGCCCTCCATCCACACTATACTGCTGAAACACACAAGGACACACACAATGTCATGCGCTCGTCTGAGCTCCAGCAGTCAGCGGGAGCTTTAAGCACAAAACCCCAGAGAGCAGTGCACGTCAGACAGTTTATCAAGGATGTACCGCTGGATGGCGTCTCACTATAGTTGTTAAACGTGACATTTAATTAATCTTGTCTCTATCTAACGACTCTTCGGTCTTTTGAATCTATCAGGTAACTTGTCGCAGCGTCAGTACTAGGCATGGGAAGATGATCAGATTTAAGGTTTACCATGGAATAGTCAAAGTTTGAAAAAGTCAAAGTTTTAAAACTGTTCCTAAGGACGATATAACAGTAAGTTTATTGTTTTTTATTTTTACATGTTTTTCACAACTATGTTATTTCATTTTTTACGTCAACTTTCTCCTCAGCAAAAAAGGAACCTCTACATCAAAAGCTACTGTTTTAATTTTTTAAAAACATTTCATAAAATAAAATATATTGTGTTAAATGGGGGGTGGGGGGTTACCCAGATATTTAAAAAGAACGTATTTTGGAGCAGTAATCACAGTGATACTGTGAAACTGTGATATTTCTATCCCAGGTTATCAAACTGTCAGAAACCTAAATCGGCCCATACCTAGTCAGTAAACTGCTTCAATCTTTCATACGATGCCAAATTGGTCTACATCGCCCGACCCTACTCCATACATCTTGTTTTGACGTCCTTCAGGGTTGATATATAGTTAATTAGGGGTGTCAATCTCCCCCAAACCCCCACTGTATTTCACACACTAATTATCAGCAATAAAAATACCAGATAAACCTATTAAGCAGTGTTTTTGTGAGCACAGAGCTTGTTGGTTGAGCACATCTTTAACAAAACAGGTTTGTTTCATAGTGGCATTTGTGCAGAAAAAAAATTACATTTCCAACTAAATACAATCTAATCTAACAAGTAAATATTTTACATATTGTCAGAAAAGAGGCTTATTCTTACAAAAAAAGAGGCGTGTGCCCAAACCCCACCCCTAACACCACCACTTATTGGGGGTTGAGCAAATCATACTAATGTGTAGGAATGAGATTACACACAAAATAATAAAAATTTGCCACCAAATCAAAAATGTTATGTTCGTTATGAATTTCTGTGAGGAAAAAACTCGTCTCATGAATCATTGAGCGTGCAATCTAAAAATGCTGAAATATTTGTGTATGCACATCATGATTTTGCCAAGTAAGATGCGATCCTGGATTAACATATATGTTGATCCTGGAACATCATTTGTAAACATCGAAAATGTCATCCATGCCCATTCCCTACCCCTAAACCCAACCAAAACTGTCAAATATTTCCCAAATCAAAGGGAAATCATAGTTGATAAAAATCATGTAGAAGTGACTAAGCCTAACCGTAGGCCTAAACATAACATAAACAGTAAGCATATCTCTTAATTCTGATTGGCTGATTGGATTGTTGTTCCAGGATCAACATAGTTGAGGAGTTGGTGAAATCAGGTTGGCGATTTGATATATACTGATTAATACTGATGAAAAAAAATAGTAGTTCTGTTATAAATTATAATGTTTTGCTTTTATAACATGTAAATAAATAATGTATTAGTTAAAATAAAGCAATGATTTCTGGTCATTTTTAAATAGTATTAAATAAATTAGGAAATTATCCGTGGCAACTATATTTACCTTCATCCCACTAGCCTCAATCAAGTTTTTAGCCCTTCATAAAAATAGTTTGGGCATTGCTTAGAAGAAAACTTAAAAATGGAGGAAAATTAAAAGAGACATATTACAGATAATCGCTTGATAAATATAACAATACATATTATAAAAAGCATTATAGATAACACATATAGCATTATCGAGAACGATTCAGAAGTAACGTTTTTAGAACGTAATGGAAACATTAGCAAAACCATCACATGCTTTTGAAAAAAATCAAATCAACATCTTCTGAATGAATGTTATCAAGATTGACGGAACAATTCCATGTAACAAATACATTAGCGCGTCATGAGGCAGATACAGAGTATAGTAATATTGCTGGTTATTCTGCATGCTTACTGTACGTATTTGTTAAAAGTGTCTGTTTTGCTCTTAGTTGTCAGTATTCCCCGGCTATTAGAGAAATAGCTGCCGCTTAGCATCACAACACAGCCAACAAGTGACCGGTGGAGCGGTTAAAGTTCACCTCACCTGCCTCCGGTGACCCATTTTGCGGTTCATCATGAGTGGCTTCAGTCCAGATGTGACAGTCACAGCGGTGCTGTTTTGACACGAGTCGGCTGCGAGTAAGCTTTAATCACTGGGCATTACGAAGCAATGAGTAAACCGAAAACAGTCCGAAAGTCCCGCAAACTTCCGCGCTTCTGGAAGGAACTTGACGCGTATTGTTGGCTGCTCTTGACAATGACTCAGGAATGTTGTCTGGTTAGTAGCGACTAGCAAGCCGACACGTGACGTCACAGGCACTTTAAGTTTGTTTATTTACTTTTCCCATTTTTTTGTGTGTCCATTTTATTCATATATTCATTCAGTCATTTTTATCATATTTATTTATTTACTGTTTGTTTGTTTGTTTGTTTTGTTTGTCTCCTTTCTTTTAGTGAATTTGTCATTTTTGTTTATTCTTGTCTGTAAGTCAAATTTATTTATTTATTTATTGTTTATTTGTTTGTTTGTTTGTTTGTTTGTTTGTTTGCTTGCTTGTTTGTGTAGTTTGTTTGATTGTTAACTTTTCCATTTTTGTGTGTATACCATTTCCTTATCAGTTATTTATTCAGTCAATTTTATCATAATTATTTATTGTTTGTTTGTTTGTTTGTTTGTTTGTTTGTTCTTTCCTTTTTTTGTGAATTTGTAATTTCTGTTAATTCTTGTCTGTGTCAATTTTATTTATTTATTTATTTATTTATTTATTTATTTTTATTGTTTACATTTTTGTGTGTATGTCATTTTCATTAATTTTTTGATTCAATCAGTTCTGTATCGTATTTTTATTTTTTTGTTAGTGTCCTTTCCTTTCTTTTATTTACTTTTATTTGAATGTATGTTGTTATATACCCTAGTTTATTGTCAATAACAGTTCAAAAAGTAAACAGTTCACAAAACTTGTGAATTTCCCTTGACAGAAAAAAAATATCCATAAATATGGGTTAAAGTAAATGTTATTGTATGTCCACTAGATGGAAGCACGAGCGCTGTTTTTATTACTGTAAACAGCTGTACAACCGCTCCAACTAAAAGAGTTACTTCACCCAAAAATGAACATTTCCTCATTCTTCACACAGGTTGTTCTAAAGTTGCATAGTTGCATTAGTTTTCTTTATGTTAAATACAAAGGAGAAATACAGCCATGACAAAAAATTATGTCAGTTATAATAAAAACGAAATGTTGTTGCTGCTGCTGCTGGTGCTGGTGCTGGTGCTGTTGTTGTTGTTGTTGTTGTTGTTGTTGTTGTTGTTGTTGTTGTTGTTGTTGTTGTTGTTGTTGTTGTTGTTATTGTTGTTGTTGTTGTTTTATGTCTGCCTCTTTAGATATAACTCCCTTGTCCATTGTTTTGTCTGTTTTGTCTTTTATAGAATTTTATAGATTTTTAATTTTTCTTTATCTGTAATATATTTTCATTCATACATTTTGTCTTTCTGTTTTTGTGATTTTCCTTTATTTGTTCGTTCATTCATTCATCATTTCTTTCTTTAATTTCTTTCTTTAAACTTTCTTTTTTGCTTTCTTTATTTTATACATTTTTTCTTTCTTTCTTTCTTTTTCATCCATCCATCCATCCATCCATCCATCCTTCCTTCCTTCCTTCCTTTGTTTCTTTCTGCTTTATAGTGTCTATTCATTCATGCATTTGTCTTTCTGTCTATGATTTTCATTCATTCATTCATTCATTCATTCATTCATTCATTCATTCATTCATTCATTCATTCATCCAATCAATCATTCTTTATTCTGCAATCATTCATTCGTTAATTTATTATTCATTAATTCATTCTTTCAATCAATCATTGATTTATTACAATCATTCATTCATTTATCATTCATTCATTCATTCATTTATTATTCATTCATTCATTCATTCATTCATTCATTATCTTTCTTTCTTTCTTTCTTTCTCTCCTTTTTCTCTTTATTCATTTCATTCTTTCTTTCTTCTATTGATCCATCAATCCTTCCTTTCTTCCTTACTTTCTTTTCTCCTTCCCTTTTTCCTTCCTTCCTTCCTTCCTTCCTTCCTTTCTTTCTTCCTTCCTTCCTTTCTTTCTTTCTTTCTTTCTTTCTTTCTGTTTTATAGTATCTATTTGTTCATACATTTGTATGTTTTCATCCATTCATTCATTTTTCTACGTTCCTCATTCATTCATTCATTCATTTTATTTTTCTTTCTTTAATTCTTTTTTTCTTTCGTTATTTCTTTCTTTCTTTATCTTTCTTTCTTTCTTTCTTTCTTTCTTTCTTTCTTTCTGTCTTTCCTTCAGTTAATCTTTTGTTCTTTCTTATCTGTATGTCAATCTTTTATTTGTTTGTTTAGAAATTATTTTTCCATTTTGTGTTATACATTTTTGTTCACTTGTTTGTTCTATCATTTTTTATAATATTAATTTATTTACTTTTTGTTTGTCTCCTTTTTTCTGTTTTATTCTTTCTTTCATTTATTCTTTCTCTCATTCTCATTTTCATCACCGTGCACAAACAAAACCTCACTCATA